GCCGTGAAAAGACACGATATGTTTTCTCCAGTATCAATGCATATAGACAATAATGGTCATCAATTTGATTGGGATAATGTCAAAATCTTAGACAGAGGAAACACTAAAAGTGCAGTCAGGGAATTCCTAGAAGCCTGGTACTCAAACGAAAATGCAATTAACAAACACGTTACTATAGACGAAATATACCAACTAATAAAAAGTAAATCAGGTAACCAGAAAGTTAAAAATCGAAGTCAATAGAAAATGGTCAATACATATGTGAAGATGGTTACCAGGAGACGCAATCATATCACTCATGAAGAATTTTAATCATTTCACTTTATGCTAAATATTGCGCTTAAGATGCTGCCCAGAAGGACGACGAAAGCTCCGCAACTAAACCAACCAGCTAAGAGAACACTATTAATTGCAAACCATCCACCTGTGCTACAAATCTTCTCTATTATTTCAAAACTCATACATCGGTATGTCATTTAGTTTGTGGCGAGTGCTCCACCACTGATATATATCCCCATGCTCATTGAAATCCCATTGGATTCATCTTAAAGGTGTAAGATCTCCGGCTGAGCCATCTGAAGAGCTTCTTCTTACACAATTCAACGAGTACACGCGTCTTCAGCTCAGTAGAAATTTGACGCCATTTTCATAGGAAATAACTGGAAAAAGAGAACACGAAGTTCAGCAAAGATATCTGCCTTTTCGGAGATTTCATTTTCAAAAGCTATACAATCTCATTTAAATACACAATTTTACATAGATACAATTCTTATTTGATTCCACATAATTACAAAAGTGAATAAAAGGTGACAATTATTTTCAACTAGATTTGGTTTACGAGAGGCTTAGAAACAAAATTACAAAGCATTAGAACGAATTACTGGTGTGTAGAAAATGAGCATGGAAACATTGAAATAATAATTTTCAACTTGATATGGGAGTTAGGAGGTGCGAATATAGATTACAAGAGCCTTAGAAACAAAAATTACACGGGATTAGGATATAATTGTAAAATAGTTATTTTAAACGAATTACAAATGTGAGCAGGAAAAGCAAGGAAACAAACTTAAAATAACTGATTTTATAACTGGAAAAATGAGATGAATTGAATGAAGACAAATAGAGAGGAATCACAGACAGAGAACGAAAAAAAATTTGAAAAAAACAACAAAAAACGGAGGCTAGGGGAACACACCAAACTAGGTCCATGGTAGTTGTAGAGGTTGGACTAATTTCTTTTGAACACACAGCTCCGGCTTTTCGATGCATATTGTGAAGGCTTCTGCAGTACAGAGAAGTCGGAAACACACTGCTTTTGGTAGATTTCTGCTCACTTTGTAAATTACTTTGAATGATGAGTCAGTTGAGATGTTGTGGGAGGTGTTGATAACATGTTCAATAATGGCACTTCTGATTGAACCAGTGCCTCTTTTTTGTAGCCATACTAGGTTATGTTCTCTAACACGTTTTGAAAGGACGCGCATACAAAGACCTATGTACCTAGCTCCGCACGAGCAGGTGAACTGGTATATGCACATTGAGTTGGTCATATGCGAGAGTTTGTCCTTAGCGCTGTTTCGAAGTATTGGACGGCCAGAGAATGTCACTCTTAGTGTTGTTGGAGATGGTTGTAGGCTGGCATAGTTTTAAATCACCGGACTGTTTTGATATGCAGTACAGACAATCAGAAGTCAACCATGCAATAATGGAGTAGCAGAACACAATTAGCAGTCGAAATACCTTATCAGTAATAATAATAATAGAAGTTACAATAAAAGAGGAATAGTCAAGTTCATAGGATGAAGAGCGCCTACACCTGCTTAGAAACTTTGGGTACCGTCTTCAAAGTCGGCACCTTCAATTGCAAGAGTTACTGCATATGTTATGTTTTACAAATAGCATTTTGTACATCATGTCACTTTTCACGGAATTAATTTCAGCATAAAATTTCGCATTTTCATTAAATAGTGAAAGAATGACTTTGAACACCAAATGTCTAACAACTTCCTGATAAAAGTCATAGGGTGAAGATTTCTGATCAGCGTCTCACTGACATGAAATGAAGATTACTCTATCATCGGAACTGTGAGGTCATATGTTATCATTGCTCCCTTCGGTTCTGAAATGAACATAAGCCTTCAGTAACGGCATACCTCCATTTCATTTTGTTCCCTGCAATCCTTCTGAGCTGATTCCACGACTGCCTGTAAGCTCTCATCTTCTCCTCATACCATCCTTCGCATATCATCCTCGGACACACACTCAACTCAACTTCAGTGCCTGTGTATGTCACTCAGTGCTCTCCTCACCGTGTGTTCAACCCTTCTTCCTTTCCTTCTGAGTACTTGTTGGGCAATAGGTTCTTTTTTGGCTAGTTTCCAGAATTCCTCACTGCTTATCATTTCTAGCTATTTAACTTTCAGTACAGAGCGAAGTAGGCAGCTGTTGATAAAGGTCTGCAGTAGCCTATTAGAAATGCTTCAGGTGACTCGCAAAGTCTTTGAATCACATAGAAGTGTTGGTTTGACATTCGTGTTGAAGATATCGACCTTGTTCATTAATTTTTATACATTTGCCGATGAATTTTATCCATCTTTATCAGTCGGTCGGTCGGTTTTCGACATAGAACTTTGCACATATGTGCGGCAGTTCAAGTCGCCACACTCCATGTAGCACACAAAGCAAGAAAGTAGAAGAAATGCATAATATAGACAGTAAACAGTGGTATGAGACAAAGGAATAGTAATAAAGGAGAGCAAAACAGTTACATTGGAAATCATAAGTCACAAGGAGTGGATGCATCTGCGCTATTGAGAACGATTTTGAGCCATGTCACCAATTGTTTCCAACCATTGGTTTTTACCATCCCGAGGACCCCAACCAGGAAGCCAGTCTACACCTTCCTACGTGGCTTAAGCTAACTGTTGTGGATTTCATTGACTGGTGCCATGTTTTCGTTTGACCACCGCTAGCTCTTTTCCAGCCTGACCCTATATCAGCTAACATTGCCCATTGTCGAGGAAGGCGATGACTAGGCATACGTAACACATGTCCTAACCATCTCAGTCGATGTAATCTCACAGTCTCGTCGATTGATTTCCCCGCCTTACCTAGCACTCGACGCCTAACCTCAATATTGCTCACCTTATATATTATTATTATTATACCACTTCACATGGGAGATAGAAGGAAGACACCTATGATCAAACACAGCTAATCTTTTCATGTCTTCCACTCTCAATGGCCAGGTCTCACAGCCATAAAGAAGGACGGAGCGGACTGTTGAGCAGTGCACACGCCCTTTGGTCGATAGTCGGATATCACGTCTACGCCAGAGACGGCGTAAACTGGCATATGCGAACCTAGCCCTCTGTATTCGTGCTGAGATTTCGTCGGAGATCAACCCGTTGGGGCTGATGGTACTTCCCAAGTAATTGAAACGGTCAACGTGTTCTACCACTTCACTTCCTATTTCTAATCTAGGGGTCGGTGAAGTCCAATCGTGTAGCATCATCTTACATTTTACAGGGGCGAATCACATGCCAAATATACGAAGATTGTTGCTCAAGGTGTTCAGTAGACTTTGCATTTTGTCAGTGTCCTCGCCTAGAAGGACTATATCGTCCGCATATTCTAAATCGACGAGATTATTCCCTGGTAGCAAGTCAATCCCTGAGTCGCTGAAGTGTGTTAGGGTTAAGTCCATTAGTACATCTATGATCAGTCCATATCAAACTTATGTCGAAACCTGTCTGTCGTCTACTCAGTATACTTCTGATGTCAAAAACTTCTCCAAAGAGCCATTGAAAGCTTCACAACAAAAATCATCCATATCAGAGAAGATAGCTACACCAATTTCATCCCCCTAAACCCCAAGTCTTCGCCATTATTTCTACCTAACACCTATCTTTGTATTTTTTGACAAAGCTCAATAAGAAGTGAAGAAAAGTCAGTGTAACATTCATTATTCTTTAAAGGGATAATCAGATAAAAATTCTAATTTCAGCTGAACTAAAATGACATATACTTAAGTGGGGAAATGATAGAGGATAAGACTAAAGAAATTCGCGTATTTCATTCTATGCTCGGAGAAACCATTTGAATGTTATTTTTTTAAGCTTAAGAACTTACGTCAACTTAAAGTTAACAGATAGTAACACAACTGTTCCCCACTGGTATATTCAGTGGAATAGTATCAGTAAAATTTTGAATAAAATGTGGCCAGATGAGCAAAGTATTCTCCGTGGATAACTTAATATACCGACTCATGTGAACTGACAGAAAAACTAGCATTTGCAGCCTATCATCTTTACTTTCAACTGAATTCTGTACGAATAGTTTCAGGTTGCATAGGCACATCTCATGGATTCAAACTGGAGATAGTGTTAATTTGCATTCCCCGTTGACTGAATATGTTGGACTGTAATGCTGGATCTCTGTTGACCTAAAAATAACCAATAACTGATATCCGTTGCACAAGAGATGGCCCCTATAGTCTATTGGATAACGCTTTGGTGTTTGAAAAGACTAGTGCTGGGTTCAAGTCTCAATAGGAACAAAATCACTCACTATGGAATGCAGGTATATCCATTTGACGAGTCTCAAATAGTACGAAATACGCATTCTGGATTTCACTGCTAGTCACCATCAACCATAATGGTACTAGTTCACACCTGGACTGGAATTTAGGCCAAAATATAATAATGTTGTCTATGAACGATCTATAGGCACAGAATTAGTGGATATAGATAACGGATTTGTGTAAGATGGTGAACAGCTCTATGGATTCAGGACAATTTATAAGCAAAAAGGTGCAATCATAGAATGAAAAGTGGAACATTCTCATAAAAACATATGATCACAACCTCCTCTCCCATAGTACTTAATAATCTGAAGATTGTAATTCCTCCCAAATACGTGAATTTCACCGAAATGAAAGTGTACTGCCTTAAGTTATACATTTATAAGATTTCACTAATATATATTCAAAATTCAATTACATTGAATAAAAGTATCTAAATCAACTTCTGTTGTATACTCTCCAATATCACAAAATTTCGAATATTTAATTTCATTGATCATATTTTCAATCTGAAAGATTCAAAAAAGCAAAAACAAACAAAGAATGAAGTATATTCTAAAGAATACCATAAAACTATTTCATTTCGTTTTCATTCAAATTCAAATTCATTTTTATGACGGATGTGTCCATCTTGTCGACCAGTCTACATTTCGATAAATGAGAGGTTAACACAGATGTACGCACATGTATTTTTTTCATTGTGGGTTTCATCGTGAACCGAGAGCACTCAGAGAACCATTGAAAACCACAGAGGAATAGGTAGCTGTTTCGTCGTAGTCTGGGTCTCATCAGCACAGATCACTGAAGACCCTTGTAAGAATCGAACCAAATACTTTCATCTTACAACAACAGCATGCCAACTATTCGGCCACCTAGATAAAATTTATCAACCTATAAATTCTAACTCCAGTCAGATAGCAATATATCATTGTTCCTAACTAGTGCCATCGATGACTGTCCACTTCACACAGAACGTGGTAGTGTAGCATGATGAAGATAGATAGGAAGCAGCTAAAACGCAAGTCAACATTTTAAGTCAACCGCTGCAGCAGAGGTAGGAGTACTTATTCCTCAAATCCGGATTTAGTTTACGTTGTGGGCATGAAATAACTTCATTGGACAACTTGTTTTACCTTGGAGTAATCGCCAACGAATCAGAACAATTTATTCTCTTTTGACCTAGCTGAACTTTGGCTAATAATGTAGAAATATGATATGTTTTCCCTTAATCAAGGTCCATTACCAAGTGTCTTGCCCTGTACTATTACAGCAGTACCCACCAGCCATAAGTTTATATGCGAACTTAAAATTAGAACTACAAATATATACGTATTATAACGAATTGTTCCAAAATGGTTTAAAGAAGTCGACTAATCTGAATGTGACTCATACCATGAAATAAAACTGTCTAAAAATACTGATTTATAGCACAGTATAATCAAAATTTTCTCCTCTCAGGTTTCATTCTATACTTGGAATACTGCCGCCTACCGTTTAAAGAAAATCTGTAGTAACTGTGATGCACCTACCATCCAGTCAATAGCTGCTAACTTGACTTGTTCATCAGTGTCACATCCCGCAATGAACTACAAAATTGAGTGGCTTGGAACTAATGTTCAATTTATGTTTGGATCGCAGAAAAGATGGATGTAGTCACCAATATAACCTAACTCAAATACACAGAAAGTTAAATTGGACGTAACCACTTTCCACTCTGTAGATCGCGAGATGTTGTGATAATGTTTGCTTATGAAGGGAGTGGTCAAAAAGGATAATATGCTGTTTAGAGCACTCCACTTGAACGCATCCAGCTCTTTGACAGCTTACAGACATTTATGATCAGTTGCTCGATGCCTTATGGACCAGCATTTTGCTAATGAGATGAGGACTCTTTGGTTTCATTAAGCGAAGATACTGACAAAATATGGAGCATTCTCAATGACTTGGGTGAAATTGTGCTTATATTTGGCATGCTGTTTATCATTACCAAATGTAGTATGATGCAGTAAAACTAGCCTACACTCGTTAGCAAGACTTATCTACAATCTTGAACGAAGTTATTTCCCTTCTGATAGTGTGGCCACATTGCTAACTTGACTGACAGAATTCAGTCTGCAGCAAACAAAAGACTAGAGGAATGACACTAGTTAGTATTCAATCAAAGTATCCAATACACTCATACGGGAGGTCTTTCAAATGCCCGAATAGCTCACTGGTTACGTCTCTGAGTGCAACACTGGCTGGTGACACGGGTTTGAATTTCCGAGAGGACATGAATTCCTTCAAGACTGAAGATAAACCTTGCTGACTGGTGAGTGCCAACAAGCAGGAAACCTAGGTTCAAGGCTTCCTAACGATTGCCTCCAATCGTCTAATACCACTAGTGTGTCACTTAAGGCACCAGATAGATATTCTGGCTATTCACAAAGAGCCAGCTTACAGTGTAGTTGATAAGAATGTCCTGCTTCACTTTTGTGAAACAAGGTTGCTGAAAGTAGGCGATATATAAGGAATCAAAGTTTTTGATCATAGGCGTCAAGTGTGGATCATTTGTTAAGAAATACAAGTTAATCGATGCGTTTGTAAAGCCCCATCGGTTAAGGTGGTTGAGACATATGTACAAACATGCATATCTAATAGCTGCCTTCCTCGAACGGGTCGTACTAAGTTAAGTTGGATTAAGCTGGAAATGAGATAGAGGTGGTCAGACCGATTATAGTATCAATCCATTTTCTAACTATCATTTTAAGTAGAGTAGCGTAGGTTGCTTGACTCGAATCCTCGAAACGTGAAGAACCAATCCTTAATAACTGTTGTTGATTTCTTTCAAATTCGTTCTATCCACTGTTTAGCAGTTTTAGATTCTAAACATCCTCATTTATCTAAAATGAAGTACTCTGCTTCTCATATTCTTTTTTCCCCACTCGGATATCATTATGTTCCAGTTCTTTTATTTTCATACCTGCTTTACTTCGTGAACAGAAACACTTTTGTGAAAAAGAGATGGTTATGATGTTAATATTATTGTTCTGAGTTCCAAGTGGAACAGAGTACTTCAGAAACACATCTCCATTCCACTCGGTTCACTGCAATCCTGTTCATCTAGTCCAACGATTGTCCATAAGCTTTCATCTTCCATGTAACCATCGGACCAACACCCAACTTTTCGTTCCCCGTTGAAAGGCCTGTCTTGTATATGATGTCACTCAACGGTCTCTGCAATTCATATCTATTTTCTTCTGCATATTCATCGTCTGATAGGTTGTTAGTCAACCATTCTGGCCAAAAACCATCCATTCTAATCAGCACTGAAGTACACATCATAACATAATAATACTGTATCCACACAAATGAACTGACATAACTTCCAGGAGGAGCCCATTTCTTTCAAAGGAATGTATGCTATGCATTATCAATACTCTGTTCAAATTTTTTACTGAAGATGCACAATCTGACATAAGTGCTATTTTTGGCTGGGCAACATACGAAGTAGCTACATCTATCATCACCTGCCTACAGATAAACTAAGCATGAAATAAAGACCAGATAATGATGGTAGCCAGTAATCACTTTGTAAGACAGCTAGGGACCACAAGATTTTACAAATGTCAACATTTCTGAGCAAACAATCAACAAAAATGAATAGTTGATTGCTACCTACTAGTATAATAACATAATAATACAAAAGCCATACAGCCTCTACACAACTTGGTGCAGTTGATCTATTAGTTAGTATCCATCGTCATACTTATAAATAATCAATAACTGTAATTCCCATATGTTTTTTCCCTGTAAACAGATAGCGCCAAAATATTACTAAGCACATTTTTCAAGGATTGATTTGTAGGGATTTCAAGTTTGACCATGAACTAACTCCAATTAAGAAACCACTGAAATAAAGGAGTACTGCTTTCGAACTCCTTAACAGCATGCATCAAATCACCCCGGTGGGAACTGAACCCTACAGACTAATACTTAAAAATTAATCTGATACTCACTAGTGACTTGCTACAGGTTGGGGCTTCCTGTAGTTCTAGTGAGAAGTAGTGACCAGTAAGGTTCCCTTAGATGTCACGTGTGTGGATGGATGTCTTACCTACGACAATGGTTGGGGTCGCGCTAAATCACGAATTGGTAGAAGTTAGAATTCATGAGCCATTGATTCGGGTCCCAGTGACTGAATGGTATGCGAGCTTGTCTTGTAACCGGAAGGTCCTGGGTTCGAACACAAGTGGTTGCGAACTGTCGATGATTCCCAAACTAGGACGAAACAGAAGCTGTCCAGTACTCCCTGGTTTTCAATGGTTCTCTAACTGATATCAATCCGTGATCAACTCATAAAAAGATATTTATAGATTTTCATGTACATTATTATAAATTATTGTAAGCAAACAAACACAATCTTCTGATTGGTGGTTTCTCGTTGAACGTTAATCGTTCGTCTCTTTGTAGCCGTTTATTGAAGCTCAGATTATCTATCTGCAAATTGTATCCGCCTACGCAAGGTCTGCTGTGATTGGTTGTTGAATCTGTCTTTGTTCTCATTTTTCTCACGACCAATATTGGGGACGTAAACATTGACGTAAATTACTGCCTACCAATTTGGATAGCAGCCAGCTCTCACCACACCACTAGGTCGGATTATGAGAAGAAATACCTACCGATGACACTAGCTAGCGGTGGCATTAAAATCGCTTATTGTGAAAGAAGCTGGAATCGATGGGTCATTGGGCTCCATCCCAGCAGCTGTATGATCAACTATCACTTTTTGTAAACTGGGTTCGATTCCTGGTTGGGTCGTTTGTGCTCAGAATTGGACAAAACAGCTGGTTTCCAATGTTTGTCTAATTGATAACAATCCGTGATCAAACTCGAAAGTGCTTTTTGATTTCCCACAAAGAACACTACCTGTCTCTGTAGCAGTTAGACAACCAATTTTTAAGTAGATTTATATTGTAACACTTTTTTCCTAAGTAGTTGGATTAATTTATAGGACAAAGGTGACAGCATATATCATATTTCGCAGTCTGACATGTGTACTATTCACAAGTGTACAAAATATCAAGCAAATTCAACTACACTGTCGTCAAGTTTTGATCTAACAACTAAATATACAAACGAAAATAGAAATACTAACCTCTGTTTCTGTTGGATAGAAGCCTATCGCTCTCATAACATACGGTATTTCAGTAATTGGAATTGTTAGGGATGTTTCACGCTTATCCAAACAATCTATGCCCTGCGTTCTAATCATAGAATAGTAGAAGTAGTCTTTCATTTCATCCAAAAAGTCACGAGACAGGAAAGCATAGAATCGCTCTTTCATGCAACCAGCTTTTGCTACTATTTCCTCCAGCACACTAGTGAATTAATAGAGCAAACAAACAGAAGAGAATAGAGATAAAATAATGTTTCTTTATATTTCATGAATTGGTGCTTCCATAATGAAGAAATGGGAATGAAGAAGTTTTAACCTTCCATAGTCACTGCATTTCAGTCTCACTTCTTTTTGAATATAATCATGATTTTGGAGAATAGATCTGGCACATGTAGCTTAAAGGCCTAAAATACCGTTTATTGAAGCAAGCACTTGACAGTTGAACATATTAGTAAGCTTTGTTTTATCACTTTCTATGTGACTTTTATAATGAATATGTTTTTGTTCTACAAAACGCAAAGCGAAGGTCAAACTACACTGAAGTATCGCATTTAATGGCTAAGTCTTACATAAATGCTTGGATTTCATACATTTATTCCTCTTAATGAACATCACTAGCCATAGGCTATCCTGCAGCTAAGCTCGCTCCTGTCTATCGAAAAACTTTCTCTTTGGTGCAATCAAAAATCGATAGATATCCTTCTCTTGTTAACTCCAACTTTATATACAAATTTACGTGTATCTGCGGGGGCAGTTACATTGGAAGGACAGAAAGAAGGGCATATCTACGATTTTCTGAACATGTACCAAAAAGCTTACGTCTAAAGGGAACAAATGCTTTAAACAGTACCATTGCCAGGTATCTCCTGGACACGGGTCATCAGGTGGACGTCGAAAAGTCGTTCAAAATTATCAATAGGTAAAAAAGCTCAATTCTCCTTAAGTTTGCTGAAGCCATTTCCATCAAGCACCTGAAACCTGATTTATGCGTCTAGAAAGAAGAGGTTATCAGTCTTTCTTTGCCCTGTTAACTGGATATTTTTCATCTCTCTTTCATCTGAATACGTAATGCCGAAAGTTTCCATTGTGTATGATCACTATTGTTCGGAATAGTGTTTAATATATACATATATATATATATATATATGTATATATTATTAGTGTATGTGTATATTGATCGATTGATTTTTGTTTAAAATGAACTCTGTGCAAGTATGTTAAAATTGTTTTTTCAGATATATTTAATAATGTCTTTGGCCTGTAAGCAGCTGACGAGAAGGCAACGAAATAAAAGATGTTGCCACTTTATTCTGCTAAAATTGTAGTTCTTGCTTTGTTCAAATAAATGCTTAAGTTAATCAATACTGTAAGGGAATTATTTTTGAGTAGATCTGAAAACAGTTATTTATTCCACAATACTCATTATTCTTGACTGTCAAAAAGTAGATTTTGTTATTTTATGGAAGTTCTATGAATGATCAAAACTATAAGATGCTGAGAAGAGGGAACAGAGGTTTATTCTAACAGAACTGAAGAAACTTGAAAAAATTCAATTCATATCAGATGAAACAATCAAGAAACTTAGTACTGGAGTCATTCCTTTGAGTTTAGAGAAACAGAGGTACTAATATTTTGCTGGGTGGGATTCCTAGCCGTACGCCCAACCTCCTCTCTTCAACGATCTAGGCGAGGTTTGAGAGTGCATCGGTCGGGAATCAAATCCCGACCACTTGTTTGGTTGGTGAGCTTACCATGATTGAACCATTGGCGCAAGTCTAATTATGGACTAGTAGATCTGTATTGACTAACAGCATCAGAAATTACGAGGTCTCCAGATATCTAGTACCTACTGAATTTTTGATCCGTGTGAGGTTAATAGTCAGAAGTGTATCACTTTAAGTTACTACACTCAGTGTATCACTCAAAGATAGAAAAAAAAGCGATTCAGAAGATCCATCAGAAGCAGAAGCGTGACAGAAGAAGCATTATTATGTGGAGGAAGATGAGGGTTCCATGGATATGACAAAAAAAATCTGTGCCAATGAGAACGATTTTGAGCCATATCACCAATGGTCTCCAGTCATCAGCTCTTAGCATCCTGAGGAACCCAACCAGACAGTCTACACCTCCTTACGTTGCTCAAACCAACTGTCATAGACTTCACGGATTTATTCCAGGTTTTTGTTTGACCACCACCAACTTTTTTCCAACACAACCCTGTATCGGCTAACGTCGCCCATCAAGGAAGAGGGTGTTTCAGCATGAGCAATACATCCCCTAGTCATCTCAATAGATATAGCTTCACAACCTTAACGACTGACTTTCCCTCCTCATTATTACTCACCACATTATACCATTTAACATGGAAAATAGGATATACAAATCTTCGGTCAAAGACAGCCATGTATGTTGGTATATTCCGCTTTCAGTTGCCATGAATCACAGCATTAAAGGAGTACAGAGTGAACTGGTGCACAGTACACACATCAATTGATAGATAGCCAGGCATCACATCTACGCCAGAGACGACGTAAGTTAGTAAATAAATGGCACAAGAGTCTTTTGTATCTGTGCCAAGATATCGTAATTGCATATTAGTTTGTTTATTAGATGTATCACACAGTGAAACAGTATTATTTACTGGATGACGTTTCGAACAAAATTTATTTTCCATAATCATATCAATTATAATCACACGACTTCGAAACTTGAGTTTTATAGTTTTCTTTGTTCTCTCCTGTTTGTCGTCGTTGGGGTAGTAGAATTTTCCAGATGTCTGGGTGGACAGGTGTTGAATCATTCCTATTACATGTATTTGTAGTTGATTCGATAAACAAAGCTTCTGTTATCAATCTCTCCCTTCACCCTGTGACATTAGATTTTAAAACTGTCATCTCACCTCATCCCATCCTATCGTATGGTTATGTGTAATTGCATGTAATGAGTGCTATCTATGGCTGAACTATTCTCTAGATTTCTTACATTATTCGGGTCAACCAATCTAGATTTTGTTAGGTTTTTATGTTCGGCTAGTCTGACTGCCCCTGTTCTACTAGTTTGACCTATGTATTTCACCTGACAATCATTGCAGTCAGGGTATTAGATAAACTAAATTGTTTTGTTTTAAAGGCTCCACAGGATTGATCCTTTAATCGACAAAGCATGTTTCTAATTGAGTTTGTGGGTTTGAATGCCAGCCACTTTTATTCCTGCCTGTTTGTTAAGAATTCTGCGTAAAGTTTCCGAGGTTCCCTCCTTGTATGGAATTACTACTGATGATTTAGATTCCTTATTGTTGGTGTTGTCTTGCGCATGTTTGACATGCATGTCGTCATTAATATTACTATTATTATTACAGTTATTATCATTATTACTATCACTATCACTACTATCATTATTTATGTAGGGAAATGTAAAAATAAAATAAATGATGATAGTAGTGATAGTGATAGTAATAATAATAATAATAGTAATAATAATAGTAATATTAATGACGACATGCATGTCAAATATGCTCAAGACAACACCAACAATAAGGAATCTAAATTATCATTAGTAATTCCATACAAGGAAGGAACCTCGGAAACCACCTTACGCAGAATTCTTAACGAGGCAGGAATAAAAGTGGCTGGCATTCAAATACAAAAACTCAGTTAGAAACATGCTTTGTCGGTTAAAAAATCAATCCTGTGGAGCCTTGAAAACAAAACAATTTAGTTTATCTAATACTCTGACTGCAATGATTGTCAGGTCAAATACATAGGTCAAACTAGTAGAACAGGGGCAGTCAGACTAGCCGAGCACAAAAACCTAGCAAATTCTAGATTAAATAAGCATACAAACAAAAGTTAAGTCACATCAAACAAAGAAACAAAAGTTGAGGTTGTTTGTTTGATTTGACTTAACTTTTGTTTGCATGCTTATTTTTCTACTTAAAATCCTTGTGTAATTCCGTATATTTTGTTTCCACGTACACCCTGAGTACAACTCTTTCATCAAACAATTCTAGATTAGTTGACCCAAATAAGATAAGAAATCTAGAGAATAGTTCAGCTATAGCACTCACTACATGCAATTACACACAACCATACAATAGGATGGGATGAGGTGAGATGACAGTTTCAAAATCTAATGTCACAGGGTGGAGGGAGAGATTGATAACACATATATATTAATATCGTAATTCCGTTCTTTAATTCATCAGAATAATTAAACAACAAAGTGTAAAATGATCAAAGATGGGTGGTACAAATATTTACATTTTCAGCCGAATCAAAATATCGCCATTTCTGACGTTTTTGAAATTTCTCCTCAATTCTCCACAACTTTTAATACTTGTTCCTTTATTACACAGTAATTTTTTAATGCTTATACCAAAAGATTCTATTCAGTCCAGCTTCTTAGAGCAAGTACACTTACAAATCGTAGAATATTACATCTTTGGTAAATCAGTTTAGGTTCAAAAAATTGCAAATACAGAAAAATGCAAAGTAAAAGAATGTTTAACAACTTTTATCTCACCTTGGTTTTAATCTCCACATGTGTATACAAGTGTCTGGACCACCAGCAGTGAATGCATAATCCCCGTTTCTATCAATAGCTAGTGCAACAGAATTTCCTATCCCACGGCCATCACTTGGATGTGCTATAATATTTGTTGACTTCAATGGATCACCGTCCAACGGTAGCATAGTTAAGGCTAAACGTTCTTTTGATATGCATACCATAAAGTAATTTGAAGCGTTTGACTTTGAAATCAGGGGAATAACTCTGAGTATATATGTAAATATTGGTAAGGATGTAGATTACATTTAAAATGCGGTTTTTTTTGTTTATAATTCTTTACAAATATGAAAAATATAAGAATAATGAAATGCAGTAGAAAGGATAGTGACAAATAGAAATAAAGGGGAAGATGAGGTATGCTTAGATGTATTCAGTTATATCTAAGAAATTCGTGTAGTACTGAGATGCTTTCAAGTGTAATGCTGATTTTACACTCTTCATTAACTCGACGTTGAGTTTCAGTCTACATTCTTTTCTTAGAAAAGATCCATATACCTTGGATAAAAATTTAGGTTTCAAATCAATGAGTTATTCTTTGATTATTTAACAGTTTAATGGATTTTTGATTGGACACTAGTAACTAGTGTGATGTCTCTAGTACTTTGCTTGGTGCAGACTGAATTCTATCAGTCAGGTTTGTAATGTGACCACTAGACTGGTAGAATTCAGTCCGCACCAAAGAAAGGACTAGACACATCACAAAAGTTCCTGGCTAGTGTCCAATCAAAGTATACAATACAGTCCTACAGGAGGTCATTTCTCATTGCAGCTCTGGCTGGTGATACGCGTTCGAATGTCAGAAGGTAAATCAGTTCCTGCAAGGTTGCAGGTATGCCTTGCTAACTGACTGGTGAGTGACAACTAGCACGAAACCCAGGTTGAAGGCCTCTTGCTAATTGCCTCCAACCATCTAATTTCACGTTTAATGGATAATTTCAACGAGAAAAACGATTTCTACTACTATCACTGTTATTAGCAGTTTTTTCAGAATATTTCCAATTAGGAGGGTACCTTAACGCCAGACCAATGAGCAAATAAGAAGATATTAGGTTAATATATATGTGTGTAAGACTTCGGCACTTTAACAGTATGTAATTTCATAATAGTTTATTTCTATTAGATATATCACACAGTGAAACAGTATCATCGTTTACTGCATGAAGAAGTTTATAATCATTATCATCAATTGTAACTATATAATTTGGAAACTTGATTTTTGTAGTTCTAGCTGATTAAAAATGCCTTTTAAACGTTTTCTCAAAAGAATGGTTACTGAACAAAGAATATTCTTTCCGATAACTTCATCACCAGGTTCTACAATTGTATGCATCCATAATAGTCAATGAATTAGTACTATTAACAACATTAATGCTGTTTAAATAAAATAAAATCAATAATAATTATATCAATGGATTGCAGTTCTACAACATCAACATAACAATACAGTGAATAACAGAAAAATTAAGGAAGATAATAATACAAATTTATAGTCTCCATTTAAGGCCAGGGCAGTAGTAGTTGCTGGACTTGCTTCTTTTGCACACAAAGCACTGGTTGTTTCACGCGAATCACGATAGCCTCTACTGTTTAGACTATGCGATACCTGGACGCTTTTGGCAATTTATTTGATACCCAGTAGATGATGGAGAAGGATTCTTGAATGCTGGCTTTGTGGCCGGTTTGGATCAGGTGTTCTAATACCGAGCTTTTGATGCATCTCACTACACCTTTATTTAACCATACTGATAGGTGTTCTCTAGCACGAAAAATCAAGTTTCTAGAGCAACGGCCAATATAACTGGCTCTACAAGCGCAGCTGAACTGGTAGATAAAAATTAGAAGTGACTAGTCTAGGTACTTTATCTCTCGATCAAGGAATCACCCTCGGTCGTGTAGAAAATATGACTTGTAGTTTGCCAGCATTAGAAGTTCTTTGAATAGATTCTCTTAACTTTTTAGTAATTAATGCACTAGGTGCATCACTCTTGAATTGCAGTCGTATATATAAAGGCTTTTTATTCACAGACGGAGAGTGGCCCTTTTCCGATTTCTTGGTCATGTGTTTCTTGATGAACTTTTCTGGATAGCTATTTTCAATTAGGGTGTCATATCCAATCCTTAGTTCATCTTCAGTTATCTCTTCTGAGCATATAACTCTAACCCTGTGGCTGAGAGTCCTTACTAAATTTCTTTTGTACTGGGGAGGAGAGAAGTTACGAAAATGTGCATATTGTCCTGTCTATGTGCTTTTCCTACGCAAAATTTTTCTTTATACTACCATCTGGTTTTCTTGCAAGAGGACATCTAGGAAGGTAATACTATTTTGGGATTCTTCTTCACACGTGAATTTCGTAGCAAAATGTATTTCGTTAAACTGAGTCGCTATTGTGTTCCTATCCGAATCATTACCACAAAAAATAAAGGTGTCATCCATATACCGGCAATAAAATGGGAATTTTCTGATAAGGTTGTTAAAAGGTACATTTTTTAGTTTTCTTAGAAAGAAATCTGATTTTCGGTGTATTTTGATGTTGATGCTATTGAACTGTAATCAATTAATATTATTATTGATTCGATGTTATTTAAGCAACATTAATGTTGTTAATAACACTAATTCATTCATTCATTCACTATTATTATGTATATATAACTGTAGAACCTGATGATGAAGGCGTTATCGAAAAGAATATTCTTTGTTCAGTAACCATTCTTTTGTCGTTCTCTTTATTCCTTCATCCCCATTTGTTGTAGAAGTAGTAAAATTTCTCAGGTGTCTGGGACAAATGCTGCATCATTCCTGTTGCATATATGCTCAGTTGATTCGATAAATAAATCTACCGCTATTAGTTTCTCCCTTCACCTTGTTGAATTAGATTTAAACACTGTTATCTTATCCCATCCTATTGTATGGCTATGTGCATCCGCATGTAATACTACAGCTGAGTTATTTTCAAGATTTCTCATCATATTAGGGTCAACTAATCCACATTTTGGTAGGTTTTTATGTTGGGCTAATCTAACTTACCCTGTCCTACGACTTAACTCATATATATTTGACCTGACAGTCAGTGCGTGGTATTAGAAAAATCGAATTATTCTGTTTTGGTGGGTTCCACAGGATACTTTAACCGATAAAGCTTGTTTCTAATTGAGTTTGTGGGTTTGAATGTCACTTTCATTCCTGCTTCGATAAGAGTACTCTATATAAGGTGGTTCAGTGGTTCCTTCTTAGTATGGAAGTACTATTGAGAACTGAAATTCCCTTTTCTTGGTGTTTCCATTACTTTGTGTTTGTTTGCCATGCTTGTCGTCCTTATCATTATCAGTAGTAGTAATATTAGTATTAATTTCATTTCCACTATTTTGGACATACTTTCTGATTAATTTACTGAGGCAATTATTAAGTTTCAGAGCTTTTCATATATGCCTAACTTCCTACCTTAGATTTTCTTCGGTAATATTCAGTTTTTTGTTATGTTACACAAACATTCCAATAATCCTAATTTTTTGGTTACAGGATTTCATCATGACCTGACATCGGCTAGAGAAGAGTTGGGAAACCACCTAAGTACTGGACAACTGTTTCGTCCTAGTTTGGGACTCTTCATAAGTACGCACTCACCACCAGGGTTCGAACCCATGACCATCCGGTCACAAAGCGAGCTCGTAGACAATTAGGGCACTGGGACCCGATCCAATGGACCATGAATATCGATGAGATGTTCACTGGCGACTGGCCCCATTCAGGTAGGCAGTTACCTGGGGTTCTAGTGGAAATTCGTGACCAGTAGAGTGCAGCAGGTCGGGTGTGAGGACAAATACTCACCGAAGACATTGGCTAGTGGTCTCGCTATATCGTGAATTGGCAGAAGTTAGAATTCATGGGCTAGCCATTGGATTGGGTCTCAGTGGCTCAGTGGTCTACGAGCTTGCCTTGTGACCGGATGGTCATGGGTTTGAAGCCTGGTGGTGGGTGCGTACTGATGAAGAGTCCCATATAGGGATGAAACAGCTGTCCAGTACTCCCACGTTGTCCAATGGTTCTCTAACTGATGTCAGCTTATGATGAAATCCTATCTCTACTGACACAGCATGGGATGAACCAAAATCCAAATATTGGATTGAGTGTGTATGTTTCCTGTAAACACTAGTATTTAACTTCCCATCTTCTTTACTTTTTATGATATAATCTGACATTGGAAGTTCCCCTTCCTGACTTCCCAATTCATAAGTGAATTGAACTGCCTCTACCTTTGAGTTGATAAGTTTGAGTAACCTATTTTAACTTGTGTTTCAGTACATATATCCACTAAACTTCGTGTGGTTTTGCAGAACGTTTCAGTCGCTAAGTTTCCTCACCTATCCATAAATACATCTGCCACTATCCCGGATATTGGTGACCCCATCACACTTCATCTGTTTGTATATTTTTCTTTGGAATACTATAGAAGTCAGGCGTAGCTGCACTCTTAGCAGGATGTCTTCTGGTGGAATAAACAGAGCTATTAAACTGAAGTTTCGAAGTTGTGTAGTTACAGGTGGTATGGTTGTGAACGATAAATTGTGTTCAAAAAGTTATCCCGCAAACAGTATTGTTTCATTGTGTTTGATATATCCGGTAAACAAATTAATATGGAATAACATTTCATCTGATTTATTCTGCGGGCATTTACCTGATCGTATCGATCGGCAGCTTAATTAACTAACATATCTGACCACAGAAGGCAACGAAAAAAGTCTCACGATTAAATCAGCAGCTCACAGAGAACACAACTCAGTCAAAATGCATAATCAATGGTATCACCAACCAGATAATATCAGGCAACTTTCTATAATTAGGTACTGTTGTTACCAGCACTGAGTGTAGACATGTAGATTCTGTGTAAGTGATATCAAGTTGACTGAAAAAAAATATTTTTACATGTATATACTCTATCAAGTGTCTGTTTCTATAATAGAAAGTATTTAAACTGCGTATATCTTACAGATGAGCGAACTAACTAGTAAAATTCACAACCATTCAAACCTTCTAAAGTAAAACTCTGAAGTTCTGGGTATATGTTTCAAACATAGTAGACGTAAGCATGTTCGTTGATTTTAAATCTATATGGACGTCAGTCTCCAGATTTACAGAGGACTGTTCTGGAGAATAACGCATGAGTCATTCTGGTAATGATATCTAAAATCCACTATTGTGTAAGGTTGATTTTCTGGTCGTATGGTAGCATTTCTTGCTGTTACTGAGACAACAACAACAGACTTTTCATTTACAAGGCTTACCAATAATATTCAAGACAGCTAAACACTTAAAAAATGTATAATCTTCATAGATGGGAACTACTCATTCATTCATTTAAAGTGTTTTATAATAATAATAATAATTTTCAACTTACTTAGTGTATGTGATACCTTGAGGATATGAACTAACCGTTTTACGACACATTAAAGTGGCTGTATTATACAATTTCATTTTAGAAGTTGAAGTCGATACAAAAAAGAATTCTTCTTTATAATACGGTGGTAACATGCTTAAACACAATGGGATAGCTAATTGTTCAATTTGATAACGTGCTATAACTGGTAATAAATGCTTCTTGGCACTGTGTGGATCGTATTCAGCCTAAAAGGGAAAGAAAAGTGAAGCATAATAAATAAGATATAATAATAGTAACTTAAAGGTATACAGGAGCATAAGAACTGGCGCGGCATTATGCTACTGTCAACCCCAAGCAAAATACTACGCCACATCATCCTGAAGAGAGAATCAAACAAGCCACCCTGGATGAAAAACTTCGACCGGAACAGGCTGGATTCAGGAGGAACAAGTCATGCGTCGATCAAATCGCAACACTGCGGATCATCATTAAACAGAGCTTGGAATGGCAGTCAGCTCTCTATCTCAACTACATTGACTTTGAAAAAGGCCTTCGATAGCGCAGCGTCGATCGAGAGGTATTTGGAAACTACTTTGCTACTATGGGGTGCCGCCAACAATTATACATCTCATCCAACAGTTGTACGACAATGCTGCATGCCAAGTAATCCACAACGGGAAACTCACGGAATCCTTTGAAGTGAAGACGGGAGTAAGACAAGGCTTCCTACTGTCTCCATTGATTTTACTGATTGCAGTAGACTGGATAATGCGACAGACAGCGGCAGCTAGGAGACAGGCATAAAATGAACCCACAAAAGACGTGGAGGATCTGGACTTCGCCGATGATATATGTCTGATTTCCCACAAACTGGAAGATATGCAAGTGAAAAGCAACAAGTTGGCAGAAGAAGAATCCAGAGAAGATAGGACTTCAGGTGAACATAGAGAAAACAGAGGTGATGAAGATTCCTGGCCAACAGCAACAGCAACAACAACAGACAACAATCAGTATAAATGGGAGGAATCTGAAATAAGCAACATCCTTCACCTACCTACCGACCTGAGAAGCATAGTTTCAACTACAGGCCGATGGAACTGACGAGGATATCAAAGCGGGGATCGGGAAAGCAAGGCAAGCTTTCATTACTATCAAGTCTGTGTGGAGATCAACAGCACTCAGCATGAAAAACAAGATCCGGATTTTGAACTCCAATGTGAAGTCAGTGCTACTATACGGATCAGAGACTTGGCGCGTCATGAAGAGCACCTCAAACAAACTACAGACCTTCATCAACAGCTGTCTTCGCTCAACACCTTGCTCAAGATCAGATGGCCAGAAAAGATCAGCAACAGGGAGGGATCTCTGGGAACGAACCAACCAAGCAGGAACCAATTGTGCAACAAATATGCAGGAAGAAATGGAGGTGGATTGTCCATATTCTGAGAAAACAAGCCGTTAAGTGACATCACAAGACAAGCCATGGCTTGAGTGGAACCCGAATAAGAAGCGATGAGTTGATCGTTAGTGTGAGGGTGACATGGAGGAGGTCATGTGAAAAGGAGATGAAATCATGTGGGCAGACGTGAAGCCTGGTGAAAATGTTGGTAGAGAACCGAAGGCAGTGGGGACGTGAGGCTGAAGCCCTATGTTCCTCTAGGAATTAAAGGAAACAATAATAATAGAATGAAAGTATACTTCATTTATAAAATTATATTTGTAAAATCTCAGCGAAATTGAAATGATTAATTCCAACGTTTCGTTCGGCAATCTGGTCCGAACTTCTTCAGGGAAATTACTTAGTTAATCATTAATTAATCATTTCAATTTCGCTGAGATTTTACAAATATAATTTTATAAATGTCTACTTCTCACTCAGCGCTCAATTATTTTGCAACTATCCGGTCAAATCTTGATCACAGTTCATATGAAAGTATACTTCAGTTGATGGCTTTTATATTACGCCTTAAAAATATGTTATTTGTTTGCCAACCAATAATAACCTCACTTTTCTAACTTCTTCAGTTATATTTGTTGATCAGAAGTAATCTACAAGTAGGCCCTTAGATTTATGGTTGAACAAAATTTAGCCGTTTGAAAATGTAAGAAATATTATTAGTATTTCCTTTTGTTCTGAATGGAACAAAGGGCTTAAGTGGCATATCTACACTTGATCCTGCTCTCTGTGATCATCTTTAGCTGGCCTCACTACTGTCCATAAGCTTTCATTTCCTCCTTATTGGATCTTTACCATGTCACACTCGGACCTATACTTAAGCATTCATTTCTCATTTGACTTCCACTTGAGGACCTGCCTGGACTGTGATGTTACTCAACAGTCTTCTCTGTTTATGTTCAATCCATCTCCATACACTTTTGTGTGCTTCCCAGGAGATAGGTTATTGGTCGGCTATTTGCTAGAATCCCTTGTTGCTAATCCTTCCCATCTAGTCATCTGGTCTTCAGTATGGCGCGAAGTTAGCTGCTCATGAAAGTTTGTAGATTGTTGTAAGTGCTTTTCGTGAAGTGTTAAGCCTCTGAACTAAGTGGAAGTAACGACAAACTCGATATTAGTGTTGGCAATCCGAATCTTATTCTTTACGCTGATTGCAGTAGATTTCCAGACTGATTTCAGGTCAGTGAAAGTTCTTCTCGCTTCTTTGATCCTGCTTCCGACATTCTTATCCGTGCTACCTAGCTGCAGTTTAAACAGTGCTGCCTAGATAAGTGAGAGAGGTAAATTCCTTCAAATTCCCCTCTTTCTGTCGCTGGTTAAGTGTCATCATCTCCTCTGGTTGCTAGAAATCCTATCTTCATCGCCTCTTCTGTCAAAAAGGTGTTTATATGAGAGTAGAACTGGATAGTTGCAGTTTTCCTACCTTCTGAGTTGAATCTTGCTGTTATTATTCCGGAAGAGATTGGTTCACACTGCATGAGAGCTTCTGATGTTATTGGTAATATCACAATGAACGTTCCATCAGCATGTTCATAGTTGTCGTCTGTGTGACCAGAGTAGATTCTCGACTCTCTAGTTAGCAATTTGAAGAGTCCACTTCCATTCCATCTACTCTCACACATTCCTGGCACTCCTATACCATATCTTTTCATTTCTTTTGCAATCTCAGAAGCCTTTCCAGCTTCGAAAATTATGCGAGCATTCCATGTCCTCATGCTTGTTTTTGGGCTGACTGGTTTCCTGAAGACTTTCATCAGCCGGCGTTATGTCGGCTCTCTGAATTCAGCTAAGAATAAGTTTATGTTTGAAACCTTCCTGTGCTTTGAAGTTTATGCAGCGACTGGATTGGTTTTCCCATGTAAGGCGCATGTCCCCATTCCCAAGTTTCTCTCTTTTTCTGGGCTCAGGATGACCTAGTAAACTAGACATTAGGACATTTCCTAAAATTTTTCTCATGACAATATTTAACAGTGATGTCAAATGAGATGAGCTGATTCCTTTGAGAAAGCACAGGTTTCTTGATATAATAAAGGTGGGCTATGGTGATTATTATTATCAACAGATATCAAAAAATAAAGTTTGTTTGCAATAAAATACCGAAAAATGATAAAAGTGATTAGTTCAAACAGCTCGCGTGCCTTATGCCTACGGTCGCATATTCAGAAATATCTATGTGTAAGGACTACTACTGTGGTGAGAGCTGTATACAAGTCAAAATTGTAGACAGCAATTTTCGTCAATGTTTACGTCCCCAAATCAGGGTCATGAGAAAAAACAATAACAAGAACAAAGCCTAACCTTGAGGAACTCAACAACCAATCTCAGCAGACTTAACGTGTGTAAATACGATTCGCAGATATATGACCTGACTTTTTAAGAAACAGCCACGAAGAGATGACAGAATAACCTTCAGCAATAAAACAACCAGTCAGAAGACGCTGTTTGTCTGTTAACAATAATGTATATAAAAATCTATAAATATCTGTTGATTTTCTCAATAAACGATCTATTGCCTGGCTCTTGTCTTTTGTCGTTACACTACTGCTACATATGATGTTGACATAATTTCGAAGCTTGAAAACGACTATATTGTTTAGGAAAGAAATCTTTTTTAGAATGAAAACACTAGCAGAAATATAGACCAGTCCTAGGAAAACATCATGACCGGTGGGGTTGACCAGGTCAAGTGTGGGGATAAATACGTGCTGACGACATTAGCTGGTGGTCACGCCAAAACTGCGAATCGAAAGAAGGTAAACTTCACGGATCATTGAATTCTCTTCAAGTGTCTGAGTGGTCAACAGGTTTGAACTCACAACCTGAAGTTCCCCAGTTCGACCTCTGATGGGGTCATGAATGCGTACTGCTATGAAGTTCCAAACTAGGACGAAACAGCTGTCCAGTACTCTCTCTGTCTCTCCTGGTCTTCAATGGTTCTCTAAATGATTTCAGTCTGCGAAACAAATCAAATCCCTACAAAGTAACTCTCAGAAATATCTAATGGTTATTAAGTTATGACTATTGAAGAAGCGTTCTGAAAAAACCCAAGTACTTACCAGTGTTCTATCTTCACTTAGTGTAAATAAACGAGATCTTCTAGACTCTGTTAGTGACCAGAATAAAAGATCGGTAATACGACGATAATGAGCACGAACTCGTGCAACATAACACCATGGATCTTCGAATTCACGAAAACCAGTACGTAGAAGAGTTGTAGTATATGCAGAATCCTTTTTTTCCGTTTTATAAAAACAAAAATAAATGATAAATTAATGAAAAGAGTAATTATTTAAGAAAATAGTACATTAAAATATTGGAATACTTATCAATACTATTGGGTAGAGCATTTCGTCCAAATCGCTTCGTTAGCGCATAAAAGATGCTAGTATTACACTCATTTTAACCATATCCGAATGAATATACTGGTAAGGAGTCTGTGATGTGACTTAAAAATGAACAGAGCACCAAGATAGGACTAGATACACATATTACACTAGTTACTGATTAGTATCCAATCAAAAAATATCCAATACAGACCTACAAGAGGTTAATCGTGAGTCCGAGCAGGTCAGTGGTGACGTCTCTGACTGCAGCACTGGCTCGTGACACGGGTCTGAGTCTCAGAAGGGACATGGACTTCCTCAGGGCTGCAGATATGCCTTGCTGACTGAATGGTGAGTGCCAACTAGCACGAAACCTAGGTCAAGTAAGGCTTTCTGGAGACGACTGCCTCCAACCATCTAATACCAACAATTCAGTTCAGAGTGTCTCATGAGGATAAGCCACATGACATGGTGGCTACGTTGTAAACTTGACTGATAGAATTCAGTCTGCACCAAAGATAGGACTAGTCACATTACACTAGTTACTGACTAGTGTCCAGTCAAAAATAATTCTTCTCAACTAACTTTGAATCAACCGTTCCGTATCAATAACAAAAATTCTGAAAATTTTATCAAAATACCAGTTCAATAGTGGTGAGTTCTTTTTCCAAGGAATTACAAATGCATCTTAAGTTGAGGTCCGAGTTAATTCTATAATAATTATCCTAAAGTTTATACGGTTAAGGAATAAAGTAGAGTCTGGGCAAACGAAAACCGACAAACTTGCACACATTTTGTGTATTTGAACTGATGATTTATTCAAGATTATTGCACTATTTAAGAAACGCATATTGCACATGAATGATATTATGCATGTGTTAGGAAATAATTTTAAAAATATAGGTTTACAATTCTGAAGTTTTAAGTTCGATCACGGATTAGCATCCGTTAGAGACAATCAATGCCCCAGTTTGGGACATTGGACCTTTGAATTCTGTCTCAGCGGTTGAATGAGCAATAGACGCGCATCGTAACTTGAACACCTTGGGTTCGATCAACGATGGCAGCATGGGTGCACACACTTATGAAGAGTTCTAAACAACAACGAAATACTTTTCCAATACTCCTTGGTTTTTGATTATTCTGTAACAGATGTTAATTCCTGATCAGACATGAAACTAACCGAATCTCTCCGAACCAACACTTGGAAATTTCGAAAGCCTAAAGTGAGCTAAGCACACTGACATTTATTTCTAATAATACGACGTATTTATTCTTGAATAGCGCTAGTTGATACATACCCCAGTTTTATGAATAAGGTAGTTCTATCTTAATGACTCAATAATCTTTTCTTTGCAGTGAGTTTATGACAAATTTTGAATCACTAAATATATTTTTTTTTTGTGTTAATCTTTTTTAAGTGACCCACTTAACTTATACAGATTTCAAGACTGATCACAAACTGACAACCACTGAAAACAAGGGACAGTTGTTTTGTCGTTGCTTCGAACTCTTCAGCACCCGCATCTGATAGGAAGGAAACACTGCCCATTTATCCCTGGTTCTCAATGGTTCTCTAAATGAAGTCAGTTCATGACCAGTCTAGAAATCTGTCAAATCCCTGCAAGCCAAAAATTGATACAGATTTGTTAATCTGTCACTCGGAAACCAATGTGGATAATCACCATTGAAAGATATGTGATTACTTTTGATTGGACACTAGTCAGTAACTAGTGTAATTTGTGTGTCTAGTCCTATCTTTGATGCAGTCTGAGTACTATCGGTTAAGTTTACAATGTAGCCACCATGCCACGTGGCTTATCATCATGATGCACTGTGAACTGAATTGTTGGTATTAGATGGTTGGAAGCAATCGGCGCCAGGAAGCCTTGCTTGACCTAGGTTTCGTGCTAGTTGTCACTCACCAGTCCGTCAGCAAGGCGTATCTGCAACCTTGAAGGAACTCAGTGGTAACGTATCTGACTGCAGCAATGGCTGGTGACATGGGTTCGAATCTCAGAATGGACATGAGTTCCTTCTGGATTGCAGATATGCCTTGCTGACTGACTGGCGAGTGCCAACTAGCACGAAACCTAGGTCAAGCATGGCTTCCTGCCCATTGCCTCCAAAGATCTAAGATATGCGATTATTTGTAGTAAATTTTAATATTATACAAGAAATTATATTATAAAATTATTTACAGCTATTGCTTTCTTGAAATATATCAAGAATTCACTCAGAAGCTTTACAAAGAGTAGATAAATTCTAGACAACGTTTTATGAGAAGGTAATATGAGTTATGGAGCAGTGGGCTGCTGTTTCATCTCGATTTGAAAGCACTTAGTAGTTCACATTTACGATACTTTTCAATCTTGTAAGTCGAAACTTCATCAAGTTTCATAGATAAGACAAGGATATGTGTAACATATTCTCAGCTAAAGCTTTCCATAATGAGTAACACTAGCTAATATAAGATTACGTTGGAAAAACGTTAGAAGTGGTCAGACCATTACATGGCACCATTCCATGAAATTGTTGACTGTTGGTTTGAGGTGTGAAATGTCTGGTTTGAGTCTTTGGAATGATAAGAACTAGTTTTTTCGTAACCATCAGAGAAATGGGTCAAAACCATTCACTCTTTGTCACCTTCCATTTTATGAAAATCTGCATTATTCTTCACGTAACTTTCCTTTAGGCTTAGTTTAGTCTGACTGCATTTCGTTCACCAACCTTCATTGGCGCTCTTGTAAGTTTGATAACTTGAACTGAGGGTAAGCTCTATGTTGATAATTCAGGTACGAATCAACTAGAGCACTTTAGCTCATTAGAAACAAGTTATAATTTACCCTCAATGAAATTTACCAGAATATTTTACATAACAAGAAAGGATAATTTGTTTCTTGTGTTGTAAATATATACTAATGCTTTATATATCTTAAGATGCTGCTGGATGTTGACAGTATTATATATTTCTCTCAACAGCAACAATTAACTAATTAAAGCTCTGAAATGAGTAACTGCACCGCTGAACAACTGATAATTACTGCAAACAACCAAATGACTTTTATTGCTCCCTTGGCTTCCGAGTGGAATACACCGCTTCAACAGCTTATCTCCATTTCAGTGTGTTGTGTTGTCTGCAGTCCTTTGTAGCTAGGTTCACAGTTGAACATAAACTTTCACCTCCTCCTCACAAGATATTCTCCACTTTACCCTCGCACCTACGCCTGAGTCGTCGTTTCCTATTGAAGTTCCACTGGACGGTCTGCTTGGCGGGTTATGTCACCCAGTGGTCTCCTCAGTGTGTGTGTGTGTGTCCAATCCATCTCCATCTCCTTCTGCATATTTGTTAGGCGATACGTTCTTGGTTGGTTCGTTTCCAGAGTTCTTTGTTGTAGTTCTGATATTTTGATGGAACTGATGAGTTGAGATTTTTAACATAAATAGATACCGTCGGACACTGAAGTATGCCGCTTAATGCTTCGAATTGCAGCATTCAAATATCACGGATCTACGACGCATTTAATCTGCTCAGCTGATTACTTACAACTTTGAGAAGTGTTAGAAAGGAAACCAGTTCCTGAGAACGAAACCGTCCCTTAGTGCACTATATTATTATGACTATTATTCCCGTGGGTTCCTAGTGGAACATAGGGCTTCAACAACACATCTCCAGTTTCTTCTATTTTCTGCTGTCCTCTTCAGCGGGGTCTACAACTGTCCATAATCTCTCATCTCCTCCTCGCCACACGATCTCCTCCATGTCACTCTCTCACCAACAAGCCACTTGTCGCTTCCCATTGGGATTCCACTCGATCTATGGTCTGCATTGCGCGCGATGTCATTCGACGGCCTCCTCAACGTAGTTCACTATAATGGTTACAAAAGAAACCTAAGCCTGGCCACGCATACACATTTCTTATATTAAAACCATGGTGATTTAAAGTAAAACAGAGAGAGAGTAAAAACTGTTTGTAAAACTTACAGCGAATGCACAATAACCATGACAGTATGAAAAATCAATGTGAGTAATAGGACCTTTACCATAATCAAATGTTCCATTTGTCACTTCATTTAGCGTCAGTGCATCTAACATAAGCAGCAGTCCACTAACAAAACCAACAGCTAGAAAATGAAATGAAAATTAGAACGCATTAGGTTGAGTAAAAACTAATCTCCAGTGATTCATATATTATAGCTAGCTTAGGAATCTCCATTTTTTTCCTTCACGTTCCCCAGTGGAACATATGTCTTCAAGCTAGTGGCTTGAAGTTTCTTTAGCAGTGTTTATTTTACAGGATGGCGTTGTTAGCCTTATGCGCAACCTTTCCTCTTCACCAGCATTATCTCTGGCTTAGCGAGGTAAAGGAGTGCATCGGCCGGGGATCGAACCCAGGGCCATGTGCATGGTCGGCGAGCGTCATAACCGCTATGCCACCGACGCACAGAAATCTCCATTAAATGCTATAAAAGAAGAGGTGTTCAGCAAACAGTAGGGATTTGATTGGTTTCAGGATTTCATCATGAACTGACATCGGTTAGAGGACAATTAGAAGACCACCTGAGTACTGGACAGCTGTTTCGACCCTATACGTCATAAGCACGCACCCACCACCAGTGTTCGAACCCATGACCTTCCGGTTACAAAGCAAGCTCGTTGACCATTAAGCCACTAGGACCCACCCGATTCAATGGCCAGTCCATGAATTCCAAATTCTGCCAACTCACGATATGGTGCGACCACTAGCGAATGTCACGAGCGAGTATTTGTCCTCACACTCAACCTGCTGTACCCAACTGGTCAGGACTTCTCACTAGAAACCAGGTAGCTAACTACGTCAATAAGACCAGTCACTAGTGAGCATCAGACTGATGCTCAAGTATTGGTCTACGAGCTCGCCTTGTAACCAGAAGGTCCTTGGTTCGGACCTCAGTGAATGCGTACTGATGAAAAGTCCCAAACTAGGACAAACAGCTGGCTGTCCAGTACTCCCAGGTTTCCCAATCGTCCTCTAACAGATGTCAGTTCATGATGAAATCCTGAAACCGAATGTATTATCAAACATTTAGCCTCATGCTTTCGCAAACGAGAAGAAATATCCCCCTTTAGCAGCCCTATTGTGGAACACTTGATCGACTTTGAACACGTAGAGAATTCGGAAATCAACTTCAGTATCATATACAGAGTACGTGAAAATCTTGCCGAAGGGATACGGATCAAACTTCCTCAAGTCGCAGAAACTATGGCAGTTCACATGTTGAATCCTGAACTCTACATACAGAAGAAGTTTTTCCAGTCACTGAACCTACAATGGACATAATTTGTCTCAATACTTGTTACTTAACGTTTGTTAATCCTGATTTCTTTCATTCTGATTAGTTTTATTAATGTTCTCTCTTTTCACTAGTACACTTCTACTCCTTATAACACTGATATTAACTTGACTGTCTTCCAATTTTTGTTGAGGTATACTCACTCCTGTCAACTGCATTCCCTGGGCTCCAAGTGGAACATAGAGCTTCAACAAGACATCTCCACTTTTTTCTATTTTCTGCTGTCTTCTACAGCTGGCTAGCCCCACGACTGACTATAATCTCGCATGTCCTCCTCGCCAAACGATCTCCTCTATGTCACAATCACACCAACGAACCACTTCTCGCTTTCCATTTGGATTCCTCACGAGCAATGGCCTCACGCGTGATGTCATCCGATAGCCTCCTCAACGTATGTCCGATCCATCTCCATTTTATCCTACATATTTGTTGAGCTATTGGCTCTTAATAAGTTTGTTGCCGGAGTTTCTTGTTGCTAATTCTTTTCTGGCAGGCTGGCCATATGATCTTGAGTATGGAGCTAGCGAAGGTGGCAGCTGTTGATAAAAGTCTGCAACAAGCCGTTGGAAATGCTTTTGTGACACGCAGTCAAAGTTTATGACCCAAACAGAAGAGGCGAATGACTGACTTCATATTTCTGTTGAAAACCTGAATCTTATGTTTTTATGCTGACTGGGAGTAGAAGATTTCCAAACCGGTTTCAAGTTGATGGAGGCGTATCTCGCCTTTCCGATTCTGACTTTGACATCTTCATCAATTCTGCCTGTCGTTGAAACGATGCTTGCTTCCTAGATAAGTGAAGGAGGTAACCTCTGTTAAATCTCTCTCGTTTATGGTGATTGGTGCTGTTTGTTGTTGTTGCTGCTGTTGGTTGGTTGGTCGGTTATCTTCATCAATTCTATCTTCTCTATGTTCACCTGGAGTACTGTCTTCGCTGCCTGATTCTTCAGCCAGTTTGTTGGTTTTCGCCACTCAATTTACTTTATGTTATTTTAGTTTCTACCCGATTAGTGCTTTCTTTATTACCTATTTGTTATGTATAGCTTACAATTTTCACGACATGTCTTTGGAAGCACACCTTTTGTCGCCATGGAAATGCACATATGAACATGTACATATATGATTGTACAGTTTTAAAAGAGCAACTCTTTGATAAACGCCTTTTCTTTTGTAATTCATGTATAGTTCAAGTGTAGATTGTCAGCCTGTTTCAAAGTTCGATACAATTTTTTAACAATGTTTCGATAAAATTTATGAAGAGATTTTCCGCAATCTTAGATTTATTGTTGTACATTATAGAAAAAAGTCTAAACCCAGTCCAACAGTCAAAGCTTGAAGTATCCTGATCTTCAACAGGTAACCAATCAAAAAGAATAGAATTCACCAAGCGCCATTGTGTTATCGTATAAACAGCGGTGAAAAAAGATCAGTTTTCCTTTTTTACCTAAATAAAGGTGACGCCTGCATTGACAACCGAAATCCTGCCAACAAAATCCAAGGTTCTAGAACCTTCGTTTCACGATCTTTCCTGCGTTGCAGGTCAATCAACATCACCGACGTTTTGGGCCGGCTTCTAATTAGCGTTACTCGCAATGCTTTGTTTTAATTTGACAGTCGGGTTCCCCTGGTCCGTGCCAGTTCTGAGTTAGCCGTCGAGCACCAAACAGTGGAAGCACAGCCGCCTGACGCAACGCAGAGCAAGTCCACTTCCGCATCTGAAACCGCCCACAATCGATCACGGTCAGAGTCCAGTAACTCCACAACAATGCGCACCGAAGCACACAAAGCAGCAAAGAAGCCAGCCTCCAAATGGACCAATACGTATGTGATTTCGGCCTGTCTGACTGGGCCCCCAGAGAAAATCCTTCTCCCAAAGTTACGGATCCAATTTGCCGACCTCCCTTACCTACATTGTTCAAGTGCCAGAGGCTGTTCACCTTGGAGACCTGCTGCGGATATGAGTACGGCCTGCCATGAACATTTTACCGCCCGATTCGGATTTTCAAGGGCCGACAGGAGCGTTCTGGACATCACAAAAAGGGTGGTGCTTTACGTAGGCTAGCCCCCTATCTCCGAACAAGCCAATTCCAGGGGGTGGATGCACTCCTAATTAATAAAAGAGAACTCTTCCCAGAACCCCTGTAGACGTCTCCGAGTTCAGTTGCGTTACCGCGCTGGGCACACACTGAATCAAAGATCCAACATGCACCAACCTCCGTAGACGGGGTCGAGAATATTAACCCGATTCCCTTTCGTTACAGGGGGCTGCGTTGCAACAGTACAATTTAGCAGCCATACTAACAAAGCCTGCAAGCGGACAATATCAGACACCCCGTCTCTGTTCCGATTTACCGGATCACTTAGGACCGCCTGACCCGTGGCCAACTGCCTTCAAGGTTCTCACTTGAATATTTGCTACTTCCACCAAGATCTGCGCTTGCGGCTGCATCACCTAGGCTTACACCTGAGGCTTTCCGCTAGTCACAGCGACCCTCCTGCTCGTCGCCACCACTCCATGCCTGAACCAAGTCAGTCCAGCTTGTAATGCTTGTAATTGTTGTTGGTTAGGTATCTTCATCACCTCTGAACATAGAGAAGGCAGGGGTGACGAAGATAATGAGAGGAACATAATTGAAATAGCCTCTTCCATTCACCTAGGTGGCATCGTTTTACCTAAACAATCATGTTATATTTACGGTTAATACAGAGAATAAATAAAATGAAACGAATTGATTAGTTATAAAAGTTGAATGGAACGCAAGACTGACCAATATATTGTCCACTTTTATCGTAGGCACACGTTTCAATAGGATTGTCAGAACCAAAAGATTTCAACTTAACAAGCAATCTATGAAAGAAAAAAAGGTGAAATAATAGATTTACAGTAACGAAAACTAAGATAGAGGTACCAGCATTTCAGATTACTAGTTATTTTTATCCTAAGTAGTCAGGTATTTATGCGTATTTTAACACTTCCCTTTGATCATATCTTGTTATCAGTTGGACTGTCTGTCCCACTGTCTGACTGGATTATGCGTCAGACAGTGGGAAACGAGAAGACAGGGACAGATGTGAAGAACCTGGAAGACCTGGATTTCGCGGATGATTTATGTTTGATGTCACACAAAATCGAAGACTTACAAGCCAAAACCGAAAAACTGGTCGAAGAAGCAGCAAAGAAAGGACTCCAGGTGATCATAGACAAGACGGAGGTTATGAAAATAAACAACCAACAACAACAACAGCAACATCCACCGCCAATCACCATCAAAGGGAGGGATTTGAAAGAGGTTACTTCATTCACTTCACTTATCTAGGGAGCATTGTCTCAACTACAGGAGGAACGGATGAGGATGTCAAATCGAGAATCAGGAAGGCGAGAGACACATTCATCAACCTGAAACCAATCTGGAAATCTTCGTCACTCAGCATCAACAACGAAATTTAGATTTTCAATACAAACGTCAAGTCAGTCGGTTCTTCTATACGGATCAGAAACTTGGCGGGTCACAAAGAATATTTCCAACAGCCTGTTGCAGACTTTTATCAACAACTGTCTTCGCTCTATAATGAAGATAGGATGGCCGGAAAGAATCAACAACAAGAAAATATGGGAAAAAAAACAAGAACCAATAGCCCAACAAATATGCAGGAGAAAGTGGAGATGGATTGGAACTTCGCTGAGGAGGCCGCTGGGTGACATCGCGCGTCAGGCCCTCGAGTGGAACCCGAAAGGGTAGCGGCGAGCGGGACGTCTAAGGGTGACATGGAGGAGATCGTGTAAAGAGGAGTTGAAACAGTATGGACTAACATGGATGCAGGTGAAAAGTACAACAGAAGATAGAAGCAAGTGGAGACGTGCAGTTGAAGCCCTATGTTCCACTAGGAATCCAAGGGAACAATAATAATATATATCAGTTGGAGAATTTCATCATGTGCTGACACCAGTTACAGAACCACTGGAAAACCTGGGAGTACCGGACAGCTATTTCGTATTGAAAATTGGTCTGATGCTCACTAGCGACTGGCCCTATTCAGGCAGCTAACCTGGGGTTCTAGTGGCAATCCGTGACCATTAGGGTACAGCAGGTTCAAGGTGAGGCAATAACTCATCGAAGAAGACATTGAGAAGTGGTTGCACTATACCGTGAAATGGAAGAAGTTGGAATTCATGGGCTGGTCACTGGATCCAGTTCCAGTGGCTTGATATACGAACTCGCTAGCCTTATAACCAGAAAGTCCTTGGTTCGGACCCCAGTGGGTGCGTACTGTGAAGAGTCCCAAACTAGGACGAAACAACTGTCCAGTACTCCCTGCTGGTTTTCCAGTGGTTTTCTAACTGATGTCAGTTCATGATGAAATCCTCCAACCAATCAAACAAATTCCCTACAGAAACCAATACTTGAAAATATCTTGTTATCATTCGGTAGCATCACTATCTAGACATCCTTTACATTTCGTGACGAACTAACATCACGTAGGGAGGGCACTGAAAAACAGGGACTACTGGACAACTGTTTCATATCCGAAATTGGGACTTTTCATCAGTGCGTCCCCATAACCCCAACAAGGACGGAACATAAGTGACCCAAGCTTTATCGTGTTACCGGAAGTTCCCAGCGTTCGATCCTTGGTGAGGATCGCAAGTGCGCTCTGATGGAAAGTTCCAATCTAAGACGAAACAGCTGTCCAGTGCTCCCTGGTATTCAATGATCCCCTTAAGTGATGTTGGTTCGCGATGAAATCTGCTTTGAAATTTTAATCCAAATCCTTAACAAAACGCATTGTCTTTATGTCCAATGTTGACCATTTCTTAATGAGATCAGATCATGGTTATTCAGCTGTATACTAGTAATGAATGTTGACAGTATGTACCCTAAAAAAGATGTAAACGCATATGTTGTACAAAAATTACTTTCATGTTAAATGTTTAATCAGTGAGTTTTTCTCGAAAGAGTTTAGTAATGCTTTGCCTGAATCCAAATGAAACATAGCCTGGAACATTTGAAGTCAACAGAAAGGTCTTTCAAACAACTTCAAACAAACAACATAATTATATTATCGGGTGGATGGTAACTAACATTATCCCAGCTGGTGTACTGCATAACTCTTTGGCGCTTGGAACGATAGGTTCTGTGTCCGAGTCTCAGTGCGAACAATGCCCCCCTCTGGGGGTTGAGGGTAATTCCAGATGACGAGTCCCAAGTAAGACGAAAGGCGTATTCTGGATTTGGATATCATAATGACTAAACGATCAGACAGAACAATATGCGGACGATTGCATCAGAAATCTACATCAACTAGGCAATGTATTCAATATACAATATAAACGTAATTTGGTTAGATGCTTGCTTTACCGAGCTAGAGTTATTTTTTTTAAATGAACCACTGAACGAAGAACTCAATTAATATCTGTGATCCACTAAGTAGAAACGGATATGCGACAAAATTTCTGAATGAACACATGGACTTAGCAAGTAAACAGCCAACGGTGCCTACAGTTCCCAAAAATTCAGTGTTCCTAAGATTGCAATTCACGGGAAATGTTAATAGTGAGGTTTCAATGCAACGTCTGAGAAGGGCCTTCAAAACGACTTTTAATGCAGATAATCTATGCTGCTTTTTTCACTGACCAGCCAATACTTGTTTAAAGAAATAAAAACAAAATGCTCTGTTTCACCTCTTCCATATGCATTTACCAGCTCAACTGCTCGTGCAGAGCTAGTTACATTGGGTGTTTGATCAGGCAGGTATATCGTCGAATTTCTGAACACCCTCCATCTTGGTTTGACAAAGGTTCGAATAAAGATATATGCAGCTCAATGCTGATTCATCTCGTCGATACTGGACATCAAGCTGACTCTAACAAAGCTTTTGAAGTTATTTATCGTATTTCATCCAACCTTTCTCATTCTCTACGAGTACGACTCTTACATACAGCAAAGGCGATCGGAATTCATCTAAACAAGCCAAATCCTTGAGCTCAAGAGAAATTTTTGCAGCCCCTTTCGTCACCATGGCCAACTACTCAATATACATTGAGTTTTACAAACAAAATCCTGCCCTCCTTGTAACTATCTTTTGGCTTTGTTATTTAATCATGATTAGAATTCTAGCTAATTCAGTCAACTTGTTTGTATCTTGGTATTCTCACGTAACTCTGCTTAGTCTGTAACGACAGAAGACAAGGGCCAGACAACAGATCGTTTATTGAGGAAATCAAGAGATATTTCTAGATTTTTATGTACATTATTATTAGCGTTACTGTTAGTAGAGAAGCAATGTTTTCTGATTGGTTGTTTTCTTGCTGAAGGTTATTCTGTCACCTCTTTGTGGCCGTTTAACAGAAAGTCCGGTCTGCGAATCGTATCTGCGCACGTTAAGTCTGTAGTGACCCGTTTTACTACTCATCATCTCAGTATACTTTCACTATGTAATTGTACTTTGATTTGTTATTACTCTAAATCTTGCATGTTAACAATTGATACCTTTTGGTACTCGCTCGATTTTTGAATTTTGATTGCTGCAATAATACACTGTCGTATTCCTTCGCAAGTGCCTTTTTAATTACGTTGTGGATGTCGAGTAATCACAACGTTAGGACACAAATATAAACGCGAAGAAGTACTAAGATAAACGTGTATTCTAGTTCAGTCAAAATATAGCAGCAACAAAATTGGTGAGCCCGACAGAGCTGATTGATGGACTACAGCATTTCGAAGTATACACAGTGGAATAAATCATCTTTGCCATCGCATTAACTTTTATAACTTCATAACATTTGGATGTATAATTACTGATGTTTCTGCTTAAAGTACCTCCGGACCTGGCGGCACAGCGGCTGCTATCCCAGTTCACCCTGATACTCAAGCAGCTGTAGCAGCTGGCTGTTATGCAACACCTCAATTCCAGTTCTCTGTCCTCAAGCTTCAGCATTGTCTACAGGTGTGCAAACACTCTTACAATGGTCTGCAACTCCATTTACTCAAGCCGGTCCTACAGCTGTTCAATTACAACAGTTTACCCAATCACCTCAACAACAACAGATTCAAGCACAAGCTCATCAGTTACAACCAGCTCAACAGCAAGCTTATATCCAACAACATCAGCAACAAGCAACAATGATGGCAACTGACGTCTCTGTCAGTGGTCAACCTTGTACTGCAGCTGCTCGCTCCTATGCTACTCCCCAGTTTATCACTCTGGCACCAGGAGCTCCATTAAAAGTCATGACTGTTGTTCCTAACGGTCAATTGATTCAAACCACTGGTTTACCACAGCTTGTGCCAACTGCTCTTGTTGCAATGGCTATCAATCAACCAACTTCTACTCTCCAACCTCAGCAAACATCAATTCAAGTTACTCCTCAACGCCGAGTAACAACACCCAGCAACAGCAACAACATGCTGACGGACGTTCACTTTCAACCGTATCAGCAGCAGCAGCTACTGCTGCACTCTTCTCTGGCACAGCCATCTCTTCTTGTACAATTCCACTTGTACAACCAGCTTTCATGGAAATAGAGGTAACTGAATGTTTACCCAATTCATTTCCATACTACCTTATTACTATACTATTAACTGTATGTTAAGATATAAATCTATTCTGTAACTCTTTACAATAACAACCCCATTATTATTCTAATAATTTTTCTGCTTTTATTGTTACATGTTGCACAACTTTCTAAACATTTTAGTTCGTTTCAAAGTTGTTAACATTATCGAATATATACAGTTATAATCGAACCTCAGAAAATTTAAAAGCCTCAATTCGGTTTTCATATTTTTTTTGTTCTTGTAATTTACAATATCATTCCGAATACAGGTAAACTTCATTTACCTGCATTCTACGGAGGGGCTATTGTAGTGACCCGTTTTACTACTCATCATCTCAGTATACTTTCACTATGTAATTGTACTTTGATTTGTTATTACTCTAAATCTTGCATGTTAACAATTGATACCTTTTGGTACTCGCTCGATTTTTGAATTTTGATTGCTGCAATAATACACTGTCGTATTCCTTCGCAAGTGCCTTTTTAATTACGTTGTGGATGTCGAGTAATCACAACGTTAGGACACAAATATAAACGCGAAGAAGTACTAAGATAAACGTGTATTCTAGTTCAGTCAAAATATAGCAGCAACAAGTCTACTGTGATTGGTTGTTTAGTTAGTTGTTTTTTTCTCATGACCAGGATTTGGGACGTAAACATAAATTGTTGTCTACAATTTCGGCTAGCAAACAGCTCTCGCCACAAGTCGTTCTACTCTTCTTAGTCATAATCATTTTACAAATTTCTTAATTACCTAATGACTTACTGCTAACCCCTACAAATTAACTGATCTTGAATTCGTAATTATTTTCAACCACCTACCTGAAAATTTAAATATCTTGTTACTAAAACCTACTTGCTAATTGTTTTGATTACGCATAGTCTCTTGTTTCCACACATACTATTCCTTCCCTTAAAACTGATAATTCTTACTGACCGAAGCTACCAGATGATTGATAAAATTTTGACGTAAAAAGCTATGCATTAGTGTAGAGCCAATGATGGGGAACTAATCGGGAAGGAATGTGTATTTCCTCTGTCAATTTGTTGTTTGTTTTTTCCATTCTGGATTCGACTGCTACTCACTATTCACCAAATAACATCGTGTTAAACCTAAGATGTCGTCGAACTGTCCACACTAGGAGCTGACATATCAACAGAAGCCGAACACTTAAGTTGGATAAAATCAATCAACGGAGAATTCAAAAAATACAATTGTAATAATTTAGACGAATTAACGTGGAAAACTGATTAATTCTAAGCGATTATGTAATCCACTACAAAAAAATATTTATTATATGCGCTACTAAGCTGATATTTCTCAGTGATAAAACCAACTCGGACTCACGATACAAAGACAAAATTGCTAATTTTATAGAAATAATCATACAACTAAATATGACCTATTTCTACTCTTGGAGATAAACTCACTTAGTTTCATAATCATATATCTTCAAATTGCCAGAGTGACTGCAAGCAGCGACATGGTTCCTACAACAGAAAAGAAGTAATCATAAATCTGATTCCATCTTACACAGATATGTTACAAAACATCTATTTGATAAAGGGCTGAAAAACAACCCTTAAACTTTCCTTTGGAAAGAAACTGACACTATACACTGTAACTAATTATTATTCGGTGGGAGCGGGGGAGTGGACACCTTTGTATTTAACCACACGCCGGTTAAAATAGTGAGGAACAAGCCACTGAACTGTATAGCACGGAAACTGCTACAGCTTAGATAAATTCTGATGGATTCTTAGTATCTTTGCCAAACTTAGAAGCGAAAACCAAAATTCAAACGTTTTGATAGTATTATTGTGTGCTGGCATACAATTTAGCATGTCGACTGCCTAGAAAGAAGCGGCCTAACAGATCATAGCCCACACAGACCAAGTTAAAAAACCTACGTCACAGTTACAGTTCAGTTATATCGTGATATGCATTACAGATATCATTCTCTGCTAGAACACTAGGGTTTTTTCTGACTAACAAGTATCATACATGCATTTGGTTAAAGTGAATTCCAAAGATAGCATGCTATATGTCTCCAGCTAATTTTATATTCTAATACACACTTTTAATGCCTTGTTCTTCTCCAGTACAAAAGAAATTGGTCAGAATCCTCAGCCACACAGTCAGAGCTATTTATTTAGAAGATGTAACTGTGAAGACGAACTTAATACAGCTACCCAGAAACGTTCATCACGAAACACAAGGCCAAGAAAATAGGAAATAATTCTTCTGTGTCTTATAACAACAAGCCTCTATATTTGGGACTGCAACGCAAAAGTGACGTACAAAATGAAATAATGACCAACAAGTTAAGGGAATCGATTCAAAGAGCTTTCAGTGTCAGTAAGCTATAGCTGATATTCTACACGTGCCTGGTTGTTATTTCTCAACTGAAAGGCGAAATACATAAGCTTGCCACCTCTTCCTATATCTACCTATTCAAATACTCTTGTAGAGCCAGTTATATTGTTTGTTGCAATAGGAAATCAATTTTTTGTGCTCAGCAACACCTACCAGTGTCGCTAAATAAATATAGAGTCACCCCCCCCCTACAGTTCGATAACAAACCACTTGGTTCAAACAGGTCATAAAGTTAGCCAGCATTGAAGAGTCTTTTTCAATCATCTATCAGGTACCAAATAAGTTGCTAAAAGCCTCCAGGTGCTGAACGGCACAAACAGCACGGGTCACTGCAATTCACTTAGAACAACCGGAGTTCTGAATAAGAAAGAAACAGGCTCAACCCTTATCGCTACCCTGAACTGCTCTGAAGCCCATAAATTCTGTATTACTTTTCTTAATTTATCTGATATTCAGTTTAGTGTTATGCTGATGCATATAATCATCAGCGTATGCTTTTAAACTGTAATCTACTGATATTATAGGTTCTATGTAATGAAAACATTAATGTCATCTACTAATCTTATAATTATGTACCCCTTTCCAAAATTCTATACACCTTATGTATTATTCTATATACGACATTAATTATTTTGCCACTTGACATTAAACTATGATTATAATCACAAATATTTTAACTGCATTTCATACTATTATTATTTCATGTATTCACACCTTTGACCTAATTCCCTCACTGGATATAATTTCTTAAAAACCATGTATATATATATATACCACTTGATAATAAATTCGTTGAAAAGAGTCTCTTCGCTGAATATTGTGTTCTTAATGCTACAATGGGAATTATTAAATAACAATGATTCTTTAATTATTAAGGACTTTTATCAACAGCTGCCTTCGCTCACTCCATTCTGAAGATCAAGTGGCCGGCAGGCCAGAAAGAATTAGAAATAAGAAACTCTGGCTGGCAACAAACCAACCAAGAGCTGATTGGTCAACAAATATGTAGGAGAAAGTGGTCGTGTGCAGTGCAGGCCGTAGCTCGCATGGAATCCAAATGGGAAACGACGAGTGGGTCATCGGTGCGAGGGTGACATGGAGGAGATCGTGTTAGGAGGAGGAGATAAGAGGTTATGGTCAATCGTGGACCCAGCTAAAGAGGACAGAAGAGTATAGAACAAAGTGGATATGTGTTGCTGAAGCCTTATGTTCCACTCTGAACCCAATAATTCAGAATGCACCGTGATAGCAAACCATCTAGTGACATGGTGGCCGCATTGCAAACTTGACTGACGATAGAATTCAGTCTGTACCAAACGAAGAACTAAACGCATGTCAATAGATACCCCCCCCCACTAACGTCTAATAAAAAGGAGTTAATAACAGAAGTTAATACTAAAAGAGTTAGATGCGGTATAGTACTGAAAGTTCCATATTCCATCAAAATTAATGTTTGGAATAAAGCCATTATTATTATCATTGTTTTGGAAGAACTGATGGATCAAAATGTTTACTGATAAAATGTTGAGTAATTGTCAAATAGGAAATAAAAAAGTATTTAACTTACAGTATTGGATGAGCACTTATCCCATTGACATCTGAATCATGATCTCTTAGAAGTAACTAAAAATTGTAAAAGAAAAAGGAAACTGGAAGTAATGTAATAATAAGTTAAAGGTTTTGTACAACCAGTTATTCAAGCGACAGAATACACGGTTTAGATAAATAATGTTCCAAGTAAACAGAATTAAGCGAAGCATTCTATCATTTCGCTAACTCAGTTTCTTTAAGAATATCAAAAGCATTCAACTAGATGTGTGGTGAGAGCTGTCTCCTAGCCAAAATTGTTTTCGTCCCGAATCGGGGTCATGAGAAAGACAATAACAAGGCTTAGTCTTGAGGAACTCATCAATCAATCACAGCAGACTTAACGTGTGCAAGTACGATTCGCAGATATATGGCTCAGCTTTCTAAGAAACGGTCACAAAGAGATGACAGAATAATCTTAGCAAGAAAACAACCAATCAGAAGACGTTTCTTCTCTACTAACAATAACGTTTAATAATGTACATAAAAATCTACAAATATCTCTTGATTTTCTTAATAAACGATCTGTTGCTTGGCCCTTGTCTTCTGTCGTTACAGACGACAATGAAGTCATGGTGTCCTTTGGCTTCACAGTACTATACACTACAACTGTACAGAACATGGAAAAAGAAACAGCGTGACAACTACTCTTTAGTGATGAATACACAAAAACACAATGCTCAAGGTGGATGGAGCTTATAGGACTTTGCCTCATAACATATATTCACTTCAGTGACAAAGTATACAAGCAAATAAAAGAAATAGCGATAGGGTAGTTCACATCAGGATTAACTGCTGAGACCATTACGAAAAGACTGAAACCGATAGCTGTACCAATTATTAAACTGAAAATTATGGATACCTTGTGTTGACGACACATTTGTTATAATTAGAAGAAATGATTTACAATGGACTCACAAATTAATAAACAGAATTTTTCGAGAGACATAAAATTCACAGGATAAGAATCAGATAACAGAATCCCTTTCATAGATGTCTTAGTCAAGAGAACAGTCAGAAGAAATCCAGAAACACGGGTATACAGGAAATCAACCCAAACAGACAAAATACTCAGCTAGAAGAGCAATAATCCAATAGTACACAAAAGCAACTGTGTAAAAACACTATTCAAAAGGACTGAATCACACTGTAGAGCTTCAGTCCTGATGAGGATAGAAGATAAACACTGATTAACTGTCTTTAGAAAAAAATGGATACTTCCGCAGTTTTATCGAAAAAATGTCCTAACCGAAATCAAACCGCCAGAAAGAAATTATCCTTAGAAACTAAGAGGAAATTATTCAACAGTGGAAACACAAAAAGTCCCAAGGAATTCCTAGAAGCCTGGTACTCATACAAATCACGAATCAACAAACACATTGCTATAGATCAAATTTATCAAGTAATAAAGAGTAAACCAGATGACAGAGAAACTCAAGTTCCACGTCAATAAAAGCGATCAATCAATGACAAAAACCCAGTTAGTAATTTGCATTTTTACAACCTTATTCAACAGCTGTACGATGACGTCAATATGAAAAGCGATTCACACTGGAAAGCTCAGCAAAATCTTGGAAGTGAAAACAGGAGTAGGACAAAGCTGCCTATCACCACCGGCAATATTGCTGACTCTGATCGATGGATCATACGGTGGTGGACTGAGTAACGAGAAGATTGGTATACGCTGAACTCTAGAAGGTCTGGACTTCGCTGATGATTTGTCTAATGTCCTATAAACTTGAAAATCTACAGGCGAGAACTAAGAAATTGTCAGAAGGTTCAGGAGGCAAAAGCTGAAATTCAAGTGAACATACAGAACCCATAGATAATGAAAATACCTAACCAACAACAGTAAGTATCAGTCACTATCGACAGGACAGATTTGAGGGAAGTTAACTCCAGTAACCTAAGCTGTATCGCTTCAACTATAGGCATTACAGATGAGAATGTCAAAGGTAGCATCAGACCTTCATTATTCTAAACCCAATGTGTAAATCTACTGCAATCAGCATCGGGAACAAGACTCGGATTTTCAACAATTATTTCAAGTAAGTGCTTCTATATGGTTCAAAGACTTAGTGTGTCATGGAACGTATTTTCAACAGCTGCCTTCAACCCATACTGAAGATCAGATGGCCATCCAGAAGGTTTAACAGAAAGGAACTGAGTCAATGAACTAACCAAGAACCAACTGTACAATAAATAGGCTAAACGAAATGGACATGAATCGGCCACACATAGTACCTCGGGTGGAACCCGATTGATAAATGACGAGTTGAGCGTGGGTCGGAGGGTGACATGCAAGAAGTCGTGTGATGAGGAGGTGAAGGCTAATGGGCTGTCATGGAGGCAGGTACAAAAACAAGAATGGGCAGAACAGAGTGAAATACAAATGTACTGCTGAAACCCTACGTTCTATTTGAAACTGAAGGGAAAAATAATAACAATAGTTTATTATCTTTGATATGTTCACCTAGAATGAGACGAATTAAACCAATACGAAATCATAACAGAATGTTGAGAGACTTATTTCCAATCAGTGTTACTCTAGTTTGAAGATACTTTCATTTGTCAATGACTTCCTGCAAAAGGCCATAGTAACTCAGAACGAACTAGGTGAGTAGGGTTCATTTTATTCAGTCATTATATTATTCTGTTTTAAGTTTTAGAAACATAAAATGACTGGTGAAATAATGTAAACCAAAGTAGGGCGAATTTAAAGTATCACAGCCAAAGCCACAGTGACCTTGAACAACCAATCAGAATTCACATAGAAAGAAGTCGCATAATCGCTAAAAAATACATTTAAAAAATATTGCAAACTTGATATTACATTGTATAGTTGTAGCTTATGTGTTGTTAGAATGTCTCCCAGTCACAAAACAGATTATCTACAGAGAAATCGTATCATGCACGATACATCCATTCATCCAGGTGACTGTAGGTGGTCATGGTACTTTGAGATCCATTGATATTTCTGACACTATTCTCCAACCTACTCCTAACTCTAACCATAATCCTAACCCCTAACCCTAACTTTAACCCTAGACCCTAAACCTTGATCTTAAACTCCATAACCCCACTTAATACTATAGATTTGCAGAAAAAGTACCTAGTAAATAAGTAGAATTCTGTATCTTTCCGTCCCAGTCCCAAAAAGGCATACATCATTTGATTTGGAATGACATGTCTTAGCATTCCCTGTGTCTGATCGGCTATTGAAGATCAACTTTTGAAAGATCTTGACTTCAGCTATGGGTCCCAGTGGCTGAATGGTACACGAGCTTGCCTTATAACCGGAAGGTCCTGCGTTCGTACCACAGTGAGTGCGTGCTGACGATAATTCCCAAACTAGGATGAAACAGCTGTCCAATACTCCCTGGGCTCTTGTGCATCGGCGGCACAGCGGTAGAATGCTCGCCAACCAGGGTTCAGGGTTCGATCCCCGTCCACCGATGCACTCCTTTACCTCGTTAAGCCAGTAATGAGACTAGTAAAGAGGGAAGATTGGGCATGAGACTAGCAACTCCATCCCGTGAAAATAAACACCACTGCTACCGAAACTTCAAGCCTCTAGCTTGAAGCCCTATTTTCCACTAGGAATGTAAAGCAATAAAAAGAACTCTAACTTCGCCTAAAATAGAATTTCATTTTATGGGATTTAATAACAAAACATAATTCAAATTGATCATTTCTAGACTGAATTTTAATTTATTCAGTAATCAACTGGATTTTTCAGCTTTTTTATCATTCTCAGATCATTTTAGCAACACCTAATCACTTACAAAACTGTTAACATTTTTATCACCGCATTCTTGTTCAACAGGCTTCAAGTATGTAGCATTTTCATTAACGGTGCACAGATGCAGGACTGAAAAAGCACCGCTTTTAAAGTCAAAACAAACAGAATGATACAACAGTTTAACAAATATGATTCCTTTGTGTTCCGAGTGGAACATACGGCTTCAAACTATATTTAGTTTTTTTGAAATTGCAGTATTTGTAGTACTGTTTTTACGAAATGAGACTGTAGCCTAACGCACAACCTTTCCTCTTTTCTTGACTTTCTACCGGCTGGGTGAAATTTAGGAGCACATCCGCTGGGGATCAAATCGGGACCTTCTGCTTGTTGAAAGAGGATTTACCAATGATGTACAAGTATGATTTAAGCTAAACGTGAAACTGATAGTGTGGTGAGAGCTGGCTGCAAGCCGACATGGTAGACAACATTTTACATCAGTGTTTACGTCCAGAATCAGGGTCATGAGAAAAAAAACAATAACAAAGCTTAACCTTGAGGAACTCATCAACCGATCACAGTAGACAGGAAGGCGACTACTCTGGTACCTATTATAAAGCGACTTGTGTAACTGGGATCAATTGTACATACGGACGAGTGAAAAGGTTATGATTCATTGTCATCCCTGGGATACATTCATCACAGAGTAAACCGCTCCAGTGATTTCGTGGATCCAGTTACAGGGACTCATACAAATTCCACTGAAGGATTTTAGGGTCGATCGGAAAATAGAATAAGGGCTATAAATGGATCTCAAAAGGAGCTCATTTAGAGTCATTTAGATGAATATATGTATAGAATGTGGTGCGACTTCTCTATTGACAGTCCCATGCTGAATTGGGAAATGTTTCTCTCCCATGTTCGGGAAAGATACCCATTGTAATCGTTTTATCATTTTTTTATGCATTTTTCTATACATATACGTTTCCGATTATCATAGACGCCTCTTTCATGTGATTGGTTCGTTCAAGGTCGTTTGCTGATTGGTTGTTACTGGTGTCGAAAGTTTAACTTTGCCGCATTGTGTAACATTTCTATTGTATTATTGATTTGTACAATAAAATATAATTATTTACAGTAATATTCTCTCTTCAACAGTAAACACTACTCTGATTCTATTAAGTTGAATAATATTCCGTTTTTACTATTAAAAAAAATAATGTTGCTAACCTTTTTAAATCCTCCTTCAACTGTTACAGAAATCATAACAGCATTCGATGTATTAACTATAAAATCTTCAACTACAAATGCTTCACCATTGATTGTTGCACAAGTAGGATAATCCTTTTGCTTGATAGAAGTTGTAAAGCTGTTTTCAGATGACGACAATCATTAAACATGTAGAAAAATAAAAAAGGAAGCTGTATTATAACTAAGTAGTATAATAATGAAGAATAAAAATAATAGTAATAATGCAGAATCAACAAACAATAAGCAAGTGACGTCCTAGTTATTAATAAATATGAAGTAAACTATCCAGTTAAATGAACCGGTTGGTTTAAAAAAGAAGACAAATCAAACAAAACAGTAAATGTGAGTAGATAGATATAAGGAAGAAACAAACTAACGTCAAACAATTGTGGATACAGATGAATATTGAACATGAAACAATGAGTACATAGTTGATGAGACATTGGTATGATTTACCGATTAAGTGCACACCTCTTAGAAATCGTTTTGGAAGGATGTGCTGTCCATCAGTAAATTTTAAAACATCTAATATTTCTGATCAGCCTTCTTGAACCAAAGTTACAGGAAGACAATACTGTTTGAAACAGTGAAGCATAAAATGCAACAGGGTGATAAACATGGTGGTAATATCCCATCATATAGAGCACTGGTTAATCTTGACATAATTTATTTTAATGACTACACATATCATTAGGAGAAACGTTTATATTGTATATCCGTGAAAGATCCCCATTCGAACATTGATAGAGAGAAGATTAGTAATTCAGCGAGAGTCTCTTTTCGGTGAATTCATTTTCACAGCTGTACAATCGTAAATACGTATAGTTATTTTGTATATATATATATATTAAATTTGTCAAACGAAAATACAATTAGTAAGCTTTTTTGTGGAGTTAAGTAACACAAAAGCGTTCAGAGGAATTGGATGTTGATATAAGAGGATAGTAACAAAAGTGATGAGGTGTCGCAAACGACTGTTAAAGAGTTACGTATTAGCATGAATAGTTTGATGCAAGAGTTTTGCTCAGGGTGCACATGGAAACAAAATAAAATAAGAAATTACGTAGGAGTTTTATGTAGTTAGGAAAAACGTTGAGTCAAATCAACGGAGTTGTCACTATGATAGTAGAAGTGGTCAAATAATTTTCTTTTTTATGCATAGTTCTGGTTCTTCTAACTGAATGACTAGGGCTTCTGCAATGCAAAGAAGGCGGAAACGTATTCTCATTGGCAAGTTCTTCTTTACTTTGTAGATTACTTTAAAAGAGGCGTTTGTTGAGATGGAATAACCAGTGGGAACGAGATGTTCGATTATTGCACTCCTTATATGGTCACTACTTCTTTTCAGCAACTACGCTGGATATTGTTCTTTGACCCTTTTTAACAGGATGCTCGACGAACGACCAATGCACTTGGCTCCACAGTAACAGGTGAGCCGATATATACACACAGAAGTGGTCAGGTACGAGATCTTTTCCTTTGGGCTTCTGCAGATCAGCGGACCACTGGATAACACTACTCTCAGTGTTGCTGCGAATAAAGTTCTTCTTACAAAAGTGGAAATTCGCCTCTTAAGGACGTCACTTAGTAGGTCATCTTTGAAGTGGAGGTTCATATAAAGTATCTTTTTTGGCACAGATGGTATCTCTTGCTTTTGGATTTTCTGTTTGATGTTTTTTTCTACGAATCTTCGTAGATATCCGTTTTGCATGGAGATTTCTTTCAGGAAGTGTAGTTCTTTGTCCGGGGTATCAGAGCTGTAGATGCGTCGGACGCTAGGTAGCAAGAAATCTAATTAGGTTTCTTTTCCGATTGATTGGTACCCAACTGTATTTTCGTTTGACAAATTTAACGTACACACACATACAAAATAACCACATACAGCTGTGAAAATGAATTCACCGAAAAGAGACCCTTCTATGAACTACTGGTCTCCTCTCTATATTATATATGTATGACAAAAGGTATGTATCTGACGACTGGTCAATTAATTTTGAACCTGATAGCTATTACTGGTAAGGAGAACATTATTAAACAATAGTTTGTAGTTCATTATCACGATACAATCAATACTACTGACTAATTTAAGTAGTTCACATAAACTCATGCTTGTTATTTGAAAGGGATTAACGTAGACATTAACTTCTTAATTGTTCAAACCTCTATACTTAATTAATCCAGATATACTGACTTCAATGGAGCGAAATAATCGTTTGTTGTCAAGATCACCTTGATCTAGCTGAATAGTCTTCAATACATAGTTTATAAATCATTATACACACAGTCTTCACACTACTTATGCTTTCAAGCCCAACCACAAACTGTTAGTTTAATAATTTTATTATGTAAGGGAAAATTTGTTTATATTGTACATCAGGTTGTACATTTTGTAAATAAGTGACTTGACACTTTGGATAATTTTGTCACTTGTAGTAATACCCTGTTCCCAAATAGTCAAATTTTCATTAGAAGTTCATTATGACACGTAACTTGTATAATTAATGACTGTAAATTCCAACTATATATTTGAAGGCACCTTGGAATTTTTCAAATAGAAGTGAAATATATTCTGTAAATCAGTTTTAAATGCCGAAAGTCGCACGGATTACAGGAAAAGAATTTCATCAAGAGAAAATGAGACGATTTTTATCCCTTTATTGGATTCCTGTCCGTACACTTGTCAAAAAAGGGATAATTACTTTGATTGGACACTAGTCAGTAACTAGTGTGATGCGTCTAGTCCTATCTTTGGTGCAGACTGAATTCTACCAGTCAAGTTTGCGATGTGGCCATCATTCTAGAAGGCTCGCTTTCACGATGCAGTGCACTTTAAATTGTTGGTATTAGATGGTTGGAGGCAGTCGGCCCCAGGAAGCCTAGGACCTAGGTTTCGTGCTGGTTGGCACTCACTAGTCAGTCAGCAAGGCGAATCTGCAACCTTGAAGGAATTCATGTCCCTTCTGAGATTCGAACCTGCGTCACCAGCCAGTGCTGCAGTCAGAGACATTACCACTCAGCCATTCAAATCTCGGAAGGGTTATGAGTTCGTTCAAGGTTACAGATACTCTTTGCTGACTGACTGGTGAGCACCAACTAGCGCGAAACCTAGGTCATGCTGGACTTCCTGCCGATTGCTCCCAACCTTCTAATATCAAAGGGTTAATTAGCTGAGAATGAAGTAATTCACTTCTGTGACAAGAAAAAGGAATCAAAGTGATTCTGGAAGTCTTCCTAGCTAGTTTACGTCTTAAGCGCCTTATGATCGTTTGGAATTATTGCCTAAATACCAGCTCTTTTTTGACTGTAAATATAGACTGGTGAACGAACACTGACATTAAAAGCCAATAAAATGCATTATTTATAACTCAATAAGGTGATATTATTAGGAGTTAAAGTACCGTTAGTTAGAATCTTTGCAAATAGCAAATAGTTTGTAACTGGAAAATCTATTACTTGAAGTCACTTGTTCATTGAGGTGCCTTTCGACCTGTTTGAGACTCATTAACTGGATATGCCTAATCCTCAATGAGGAATGATGCTGGCACTGAGATTCGAGTCAAGTATCTACCACTTTAAAAGCTGAAGAGTTGTCCACTAGGCTTTTCAGCCACGATGACCATCTGTGTTGCTCAACCTGAATGACTTCATAGTATTTATACTGATACTTGTTATTTCAACAAAATGATATTCCCGAAATAAAATCATCAGCTCCATTTTAACATGTCGGCTAGTTAAACTCTTGACTGAATATTACTATGAATTTCAAAAGTTAGTTTGTAGGGATTTGATCCATCTCAAGTTTGATCACGAATTAATATCAGGCTAGAGAAACACCGAAAACCACCAGGGAATACTGGACAACCACCTTTTCCTAGGTTGGGAATTTTCAGTAGTGTGTAAGCACAACCTCAATAGGGGTCGAGCCCAGGAAATTCAGGTTTCCAAGCCAAGCTCATTGACTACTCAGCCAATGAATTATAACCATAATTAATAACTTTATGTGAATGGCTGGGTTGTACTGTTAACCGCTACTGGACAAGAAACTCCAAATCATGGTAATACTAAGGCACACGTTCAAGGGGCTTATATGTCAAAATAAGGCAGATCAATTCTGTATGTAAATATAGGCGGGAAATCACAAGTAATAATAGATAATATCAAACACTGCTTGAATATGAGAAAAATGTTCACAATGATAATCAAATCATACTTATTTACAAAAACGCTATCTGAATATTAACAGTCATCGTTCATGGAAAAAGTTTTTTCTATTCCTTCACGTCCCCTGTGGAACATAGGAGGCTTCAAGCTAGAGGCTTGAAGTTTCTGTAGCAGAGTGTATTTTTACAGGATGGGGTTGTTGGCCTCATGCCCCACCTTTCCCTCCTTACCAGTCTTATTACTGGCTTAACGAGTAGAGGAGTGCGTCGGTGGCTTGGTACCGAACCCCCGACCATGTACATAGTCAGCGAGAGTCCTAACCGCTGTGCCACCGACGCACTCAGAGGAAACGTATATGGGTCTTTACCTGTAGTATATCGTAATTTAATGAAGGGAAAAACGACTTGTCAACAGACAACTTTACAATCCGTCTATGGTTTAAAAGTCCGACTGAGAGACAAACGGACAAACAAATTACGGATTAAAGTCAATGCTTCACCCTTATTAGAAGGTGTATTAATGCTTCTTCGCAGTTAAAAACTTATGGGTATTTAAATAATTAAATTTAAACACTCAGAATGCGACCAGGATAAATTTTATGTACAGATATAACGTCAAAAACTGATAAGTGGAATTAAAAGAACCAGAATATATTCTAAAAGGACAACATTACTATTTTTCAATATTACCAGTTAATAAAATCGTCACTCAGTATTATTATTATTATCATAAGTAACATAACAAGTTTTGTAAGCTGTTAACAAACCCTTGTATTTTCATCCACACATAGTGTGAGTGCTAGTGATACTTACAGCCTGCATGCTCAAACTTTGATAGGTAGAGCACGGATTGAACTCCTGATCAACTGTATGTAGATGTTTGAGAACGAGCCACTAACTGAGAGTTATCACTTGTGTTGATCAAATTTAAGTAAATCAAATATGAAATTTTCCATGAGCCAACTTAAGTAGAATAAATTCAATAAAAAGTATCAGCGATTCGCTTACAAAGCAGTGAATGAGCTCAAATATTATTACTACACACCATCTAAATGCAAAGTACTGTTACAAGATTGGCAGGAGCCTGTACCTGCACTCACTCTTGCGGGTAAACAGCTTGAAGTTGTTGATAAGTTTGTGTATTTGGGTAGTTGTGTGAGTGCTGGCAGAGTAGTGACGGATAAGATTTCCAACCGTATAATGAAGGCTAGGGTGGCATACATCAACTTGAGCCACCTCTGGCGCCGTCGCGACGTTAGCCTGGCTGTCAAAGGTCGGGTATACAATGCTTCGGTGCAGGGTGTCTTGCTCTACGCCTGTGAAACCTGGCCTCTCCGAGCTGAGGATGTGAGGAGACTCTGCGTGTTCGATCACCGCTGTCTCCGCAGGACTGCTTGCGTTCGATGGCATCATCGCGTTAGTAATTTGGAGGTTCGCCGGCGTGTGTTTGAACACAGTGGAGATCACCACTCATTGAGTGTCGTCATCCGGAAACACCGGCTCCGGTGGCTTGGATATGTGCTGCGAATGTCATCCCAGAGGCTTCCGTACAGGTCTCTGTTCGCTAGCCTTGGGACAGGATGGAAAAGACGGAGGGGTGGTCAGTCCATGACGTGGCGTCGTGGGATGAAGGATTTTTGTGCTAGATTAGCATCGGTTGGTGTGTCACGACTCCCTGGTTGGGGTCCGCGAGATAGCTTGAATCGATGGCTCGAAACGTTATCGGATATGGCCAAGAATCGTAATCAATGACGAACTTGTTGCAATTTCCTTCTTTCTTCCCTTCCTGATGATAGTTAACGAATACTCTTTGAACTTGTTAAACATGACTGTTTTCCTTCCAGATGAAGTTCTTTATCCGTTTTCTACTTGTATTTTTACTTTTAATCTATGTTGTTTTATTATTATTGGCGCATCTTTCTTGGTGCCATATTGTACCAAGTTTTTGCTGCGTATAAATAAATAAAATAACTACGCCTGCTATCAATCTCACTTATGAACTTGAACTTTGCATTAGGGATCCACGGGTAGGATTTTCGTCAGCCGCTCAAGTTTGGAACCTGGGACGACACACTTCTAAGCCTTGCCCACCTGGCAGTAAGCCCGATAAAGAGGAAAGGCTGGGCATGATGCTAGAAACTTCATCCAGTACAAACAACACAATTGATAGAGAAACTTCAGAGCTTGAAGCATGAAGTCCTATGTTCCACTCGGAACACAGCATGATTAACGTAAAATCTCATCACAACCTAATGTCTACAAAAAAGGATTTTTACAAATGTTTCGAATGATGTTTATTAGCTTTTAATAGGGAATACGTATTTTTTTTATCAAAAAGCAAACAAATGCGTAAAACGAACAAGTTCAATCAAACAAAGATGACTGTTTTGATTCATTAAAAACAAATTAAACTTGCTTAAAATTGGATAAAAATAAACAAATTTCAATTTTAACTATGAACAACAATTACCGATAATTGTGAATATCTCTGTGAAACGAATTAATAAAATGTTCGATGAAGACTTTCTCAATTATATATACTGTCTTTATTGCAGAGAAATTTTGAAGAAGTCACTTATTTCACTTACCTAGGCATCATCACTTCAACTACCAGCAGGTGGAACAGGTGAAGATTTCAAAGGTGGTCAGGACCAGGAAACCAAGATAGACCTCTGAAATCAGTTTGGGAATCTGCTTCACTCAGCATTAGGGAACAATATCCGAATCTTCAACATTAGTGTCAAGTCAGTCAATGTTTCTCTTCAGTTCAAAGACTTAGCATGCACGTCACCAAAGATATTTCCAACTGGCTAATGCATGCTTTCATCATTAGCTGCCTTCGCTTCACATTGAGAATCAGGTGGTCGGGGACGACTAGTAACAAAGAACTCTGGCAAAGAACCGACAAGGAATCAGTCGCTTAACAAATCTGATGAAAGAAACGGAGATGGATGGATCAGACATACGCAGAGAAGACCAAGCTCTCGAGTGGGACCCGAATGGAAAACGAGTTGAGCTTGCGTGCAAAGATAACACAGAGGAGATCGTGTGAAAGGGAGGTGAAAGCCTATGAGCAGTTGTGGAGCCATCTGAAGACGACTTTAGAAAACAGAATGAAATGCAGATTTGCTGTTAAAAGCAGAATCCAAAGGAATAATAATATTGTGGAACTATACTGTCTTTATATGAGGAAATTATGGAACATAAGGAGAACTAGATTACATATTAAATTTGGTACTCCCGAAAGTCCACCGCCAATGAAATAAACGCTTTGAACTGCCTTCATAGTTATCTTCAGATTGATACTAAGATAGTGAACGGTCTTATGTCCAAAGCTGGAACAAAATTCAGTGTTCTGAAACTGGTCGCATTCCTACATCTCTAACAGAATGCAGTACACCGTATATAAAGGCAAATCCTCCTCTGCTGCGCTCACTGAAGCTGGTGTCCCCCAAGGTGCTGTACTCTCCCCACTTCTCTTTTCTTTCCTTCTACATGACTTACCATCTTCAAATGACATTAATTTTGTCAAATATGCTGAAGACCTGACTGTATCTTTGCCTGACAAATGTCAAAGTGACTGCTCTAAACTAAACTGGCTTCTTATCAGAAATCAGCCAGTGGTCCAAGGAAAACGGTCTTACCCTAAACCCCTCCAAATGCCAAACGGTCAATTTCACCTTTAGGCATAAATCCGACCTAAACAAACTGGTTGGCTCTCACGAGGTATGCAACATAGATGGCGCTGAAATAGAAACCAAGTCGGAAATCAAATATCTTGGCGTCATTCTATCTGCTGATCTCTCCTGGTCGTCTCATATCTTGACGATTTCTAAGAAAGTATTCCGTCTTACTTTCTACATCAAGAAGTTAAGACATTCTGGAATAACCCAACTCTTACTCCCACAATTCGTTAACTGTCACATTCTGTCTATTACTCTCTATTGTTGACGCTTAGTTTTTCCCGGGCTACTGAAGAAAGACTATAACATATTACGCAGGATGTTAAAGGTTGTTAGCAGAGTAAGCAACGTGCCACTTAACCAACTTGTTAATATTCTGGTTGACAGGCACATGGACTCATGTGAAAAATGGGCCAAATCCATTTTATCTAACTCACACCACCCTCTTCACTCACAACTCTCCCCTTGTATCTCATCAGGTAAAACCAGTAGCCTATATAGAAAACTGTATGCGGGCACCAGCAAGTACAAAAACTCAACCATACCCAACTTAGCTCGTGTTCTGTGCGATAAAGAACGCATTAGGCGTGACACCTATAATTCATTAAATAGTCAGTAGAACAACTGGATCTCGTCTTTCCAACTCATATCATTTACAGGTACAACGTTTTCTTTCTTTCTTTTCCTTTTCTCTTTCTTTTCCTTTTCTCTTTCTTTTTTTCTTCTGTTATGTGCTGCTTTGTTTTTTTTCTCTCGCTTCCGCCAGTAAATATGATAGCACCTACTTTTGTAACACCTTCAAACACTGTTCAACTTTGGCTTTGCTACCGACATGCCAATATGTTGTTTTCATAATGAACTGAGATTTCCTTAATCTATGTAGAATTCTATTTATTGATAATGTACTAACTGGATGCAATACTGTAGTAAAAATGCTGAGAATTCCATTCTGTATCACAAGTACTATTTTGGAATAAAGCAAATTTATATTATTATTAAAGCGGAGTCGAAATCAAAGTCCTTCTGGATATCTCCATAATGGATAGGATTTTATTTTGATAAATTACACAGTGTTGTACAGTTATATTAACTGATAACGTTTCGAGCACAAACTATTGCTCATATTCAAGGATTATGAGCAATAGTTTGTGCTCAAAATAAAATCTTATCCATTATGGAGTTATACTCTACCACAGTGCCCAAGTTTCATACTTATATCAATAATACATATGGTCCTTGTGGATATCACTCTAAATATGCTTTAACCGTGTCTTTGTTTAACGTAAGTCATCAGGACTCCTCATGTGCACTAGGTGACTGAATGGTACCTTATTGTCAATTCAGAATTACTAAGAATAATTTTCCTTCATAGTACTTTATACAGTAGCGTTAAGTCAGCGCTTCCATATGGTTTGGAGACTTAGTGCATCACCGAAAGCACTTCCAGAAGGCCGCTGTAGACTTCATCGACAGGTACCTTTGCTGTCTCCATACTGCAGACCAGATGGTCTGCGAGAAACGATTAGGAACAAACAGCTGTGGCAACTAGCAAACCAAGACCCTATCACCCGACATTTGTGCAGAAGGAAAATGGGATGGATTGGACACACACTGAGAAGACCATTGAGCGAGACCACATGTCAGACCCTCAAGTGGGGAATGATGATTTAGGCATTGGCTCGACAGTGATGTGGAGGAAATCGCATGAGAATGAGATGAAAGCTTATGGTCAGTCGTACAGACAGCTAAAAGTGACTACAGAGGACAAAGTGAAGTGGAGATGTACTGCTGAAGCTCTGTGTTTCATAGGAACTCAAGGGAATAATAACAACAATCAAACGGTACTTTTAAATGTCTGATAATTTGAAAAATTCAAAAACTCTCCAACCTTTAATTATTTCTTTTTAATCATATTTCTTTTTACTTACTCATCGAAAAGGCTTGTTGTAGCAAAACTAACACAGTTGATCGGTCCACATTTAATATCTTGATACCAGAATAACAGCATAAAGTTACAGTCGAAGAATTTCACTTGTCCACTAGAATCACCTGTGACAATACACTTTCCAGCTGGATAACTGATTTAAAACGATAAAATAGGAAAAAGAAGTAAAGTTGTAATTATTACTTTATTTATCAGAGAACATCGGTGAGTATATATTTTTTTGTTAAATTCACTTCTTAAATATGTGAGATACATTTAGCGTATCAGTTACTTAAGAATAACAGCTTCAAATTACTACTATTAGTAATACAAGTATTTTAAATCTATGGCATGATAGATATGGAAGTATGAATTCCATATCAGCTGTGACTAATCCAATGCGAAATATTCTGTTGATCTAAATGATTAGTTGGTACCCATCTCAGGTGAGGTGATCCAAGCAGTAAATTCGTTGCTCACTAGCGACTGGTCCTATTCAGGTAGGTAGGTAGGTTGCCTGGGCTTCTAGTGGGAAGTAGTGACCAGTAGGGTACAGCAGATCAGGTGTGAGTACAAATACGCTCCGAAGACATTGGCTAGTGGTCGCGCTATGTCGTGAATTGGCATTGGATTGGGTACCAGTGGCTTAATGGTCTACGAGCTCGCTAGCCTTGTAACCAGAAAGTCCTTGGTTCGAACCCCAGCGGTCGCAAACTAGGACGAAACAGCTGTCCAGTACTCCCACGTTTTCCAGTGGTTCTCTAACTGATGTCAGCTAATGATGAAATCCTGTAACCAATCAATCAAATCCCTACAAACCTATACTGGAAATTCGTTTCTCTTATTTGGGTCAGACCCATAAGCGATACATATATACACATATATGCTTGTAATGAATAGTGTTAGATTTCGAACAGTTTTACAGCACACATGTTTTCGCTTAACTCTCATCTCATAAAGTAATCGACGGTCGATCAGTAGGCACAGAATGCATATAAGCGTACAAACCATAAAAGATCTAACAGTAAAACTGGTTGAATGAAGAAATGTATTGCTTTCCTCTATGTTTCATTTGAGTGTTCCTTTTCAGGGATTTGATCGATTGCCAGTTAGTAGGGAACCACAGAAAATCAGTGCGTTCTGCTGAAAAGCCCCGAACAAGGACAAAACGCCTGTCCATTAGTCTCTGTTGGTTTTCAATGGTTCTCTGACTTAATTCAGTTCGTGATCACATCTGGGAAGGAATTTTTTGTCGCAATCAGTCTGACTTCTTGAAAGTGTCAACTAAATTTTTTGAATATAGAGTGAAAGAGCCTAAATATGTTCAAAACTACTAAAATACTTCAATTATACATTCGTTTCGGAAGGCATCAGAACGTTTAAATGAGCCAAATACCTGGCATGAACATGTTCTTTGACAATACTGCATATTATTTATTTTATCCCTTTGCGTTCCGAGTGGGACATGGACCTTCAAGCTTGGGTTTTGAAGTTTCAGCAGCAGTTATCTTTTTCTAACAAGGTGAAGTTGCTAGCCCTAAGCCCAACCTTCCCTCCTTACCAGACTTACTGCCAGCTAAGTGAGGTTTAGGAGTGCATCAGGCAGGATTCGAACCCCGAGCCATGTGAGTGGTTACTGGGTATTCTACCAGTGAACCGACCTCTTTGACAATAAGGTCATTTTATTCCCAATAAAAAATTTTCTATTTTACACTAAGTTATGATCGCAAAGCAAGAAAAGTTGTATAAGAAAATAAACCAAAACGCTTTACCATGTTGTTATTGTCAGAAAGGTAATCGCCTTATCGTGTAATGGTATCACTTTTGTAGCCCGTTTATAAGGTGTTTCTGAATTATCTCCTGTTAACAGCAAAATAAACAAGGTTTAAATTATTTTTGTAGTATTTTACCCAGTGAATTTGTATTTTTATATTTTGAAAACAAACTAAATTGGAACGAAACTTGTAAAATAAATGGGAAACTGCGATTTGAAGCACCACCGCCAGTGAGTATTTATCCTTACACGCGGCCTGGTACATCACGTTGGTCTCACAGAGAGAAAAGTTACAAACTTTTTAAATAAACATCAAAACAAACAAAAACGCCTATTTCAGGTTTAGACGCAGAAAATCGTAACAAACATGAACTTCAACGCGGAACATTACTTTTCAGCTGGTACTGATTAGTTTCAGTTAACTCGTCATATGCATAAACTAGTTTATGGCAAAGGGCAAGAAAAAATTAAATTTTAAAAAATACTAGAACTTGGTAATAATTTAAAGACTTTTCAGTAATGTTAGGTGACATAAGAATACGGTGGAAAACAATTAAAGATGGTCAAACACAAACCTGGAATAAAATATGTGAAGCCTTTAACAGTTGATTTCAGCCAGCCATTTGTAGGAAGGTGTGGACCTGACTGCAGCACTGGGTGACGCAGGTTCGAATCTCAGAAGGGACATGAGTTCCTTCAAGGTGGTTGCAGATATGCCTTGCTGACGAGTGCCAACTAGCACGAAACCTAGGTCCCAGCAGGGCTTCCTGCCGATTGCCTCCAACCATCTAATATCATCAAACCAATGTGCACCGTGATGGCGAGCTACCTAGAATGGTGGCCACATTACAAACCTGATTGATAGAATTCAGTCTGCACCAAAGAAAGGACTAGACACGTCACACTAGTTACTAGTGTCCAATCAAAATAAGGTGTGGACCTCCCGGCTGGGATCGTCAATCGCTGAAGACGTTTAGTGAAATGGCTTAATAGCATAGATGCATTCACTAGTTGTCATTCATTAAACCCTGATGTCTTTCCATGTTAGTATTCTTTCTCTCGCACATTTCTGCTTATTATAGTTCTTTTCAGACCCTTTTTATTTACCTTTGAGTGCTGCACAGAGCACGGCAACTTGAACTTCTGTACATCTGTGCAGAGTTTTACATTGAAACTCAGCTAGTCAATCAGGTGGTCAGTGAGAAAACTTAAAAAGTTAATTATTTCATTGAAAATATGGTGTTACACTTCAGAAAATTTTAACTAGACGAAACCGTTTCGATTGTTCCCTTAATATAATTGCTAGCCAGGTAGAAAAAACTGGCAGTATGTAATGAACAACGAATAAATTACTGACTAACTTTTCCCACCTGAGTTGATACAGAAAAATTTACAGTACAGGGAAAGATATTTTAATTCTACCGTTCATAAATGCTCATAGTTCATAAGACAAAAATTAGTAGATAAAGATTTGAACATTTGCCAGCCAAGAATAAATACTCAAAACCTAACGAGATGAACAATTAATATAGAGCATTTGGCACAATAAAGAAAAACTTGCAATTGAAAATACTGAAAGTCACTTTGCACAGTTGTTGGGCAAAATACACTTATACTTACCAGTTCGACGATGAATATTTGGACAGTTAGATGACACCTTAAACCCCGCACGAATGAAGTATATATCACAGTCTTATGCATATACAGGTACTTACTCGGTGAGTAATAATCTTTGAAAAGTTATTCTGATATTTTCACGAATTCTGAGAAGCATTTAACTTAGCATGTTAGAGACATAAAAAGGACTGTTCATACGCAATGACTACTTTTAAGTTCATTGGTGCGTAAACTATAACAGTCTGAGGCAGAAGGTCTCTTTTTTAATGAGTTAGGCTTTTAGCATGTGCGTCTGTGGCACAACGGTAGAATGCTCGCCAAACACGCCTCACGTGGTCCGGGGTTCGATCCTCGGCCGACGCACTCCTCTACCTCGCTAAGCCAGTGGTAAAACTGGTAAAGAGGGAAGGTTGGGCATGAGGCTAGCAACTCCATCCCCTAAAAATAAACATCACTGCTACCGAAACTTCAAGCCTCTAGCTTGATGCCCTATGTTCCACTGAGAACGTAAATGATTAAAAAAAGGCTTTTAGCACATCTAATCTATGGCTGTTAAAAAGGATCTACCAAAGAAGAAAAAACTATTAACTCTGTCTATAGTTTGGTTTGTAAGGGCTAGTTTTGTTTTTACGAGTTGATCACGGATTGATATCAGTTAGAGAACCTTTGAAAAACAGGGAGTACTGGACAGCTGCTGTTTCATCCTAGTTTGGGAATCATCGGCAGTACGCACCCACCGCCATGATTCGAACCCAGGACCTTCTGGTTACAAGGCAAGCTCGTATACCATTCAGGCACTGGGACTTGATTCAGTGGCTCATGAATTCCAACTTCTACCAATTCGTGATTTAACGCGACCCGAACCATTGTCGTAGGTGGGACATCCATCCACACACGTGACATCTAACTGGACCTCACTGGTCACGACTTCTCACTAGAACTCCAGGAAACTCCATCCTGTAGCAAGTCACTAGCGAGCATCAGATTAATTTTCTATAGTTTGGTTTGTAAGGTTTAGTTTTGTTTTTAAGAGTACGTACTGCCGATGATTCCCAAACTAGGATGAAGCAGCTGTCCAGTAGTCCCTGTTTTTCAATGGTTCTCTAACTGATATCAATCCGTGATCAACTCGTATCAACTTTGTACAAAACTGTTTTATGTAACTCGTATTTAGATGCTTTCCATCCAGTAAAAAGGCAAAAGCCAACCTTTTTAACTTCTGAGATGTGGTGCCAAGCGATATGTTACTAGAAATTTCCACCCTCAAGTTGATGTTATTATTATTATGAAGTTTAAGATGCGATATCCTACCGTAAGGCTTTTAGTGGGTTTGTAACTTATAGGTGTAGGCGTTTTGCTTCTATCCTTCGAATTGGTGGTTCCACCTTTGCTCCAACTGCAGAGGTGTGATTTATGGCCACATGTATAAAGTTATTTTTTAAATAGCTCATGACTGAAAGAAATAAGAAACTACTAATATTTGGAATTTTGAACCCTACTACACAAGATGGCGGTGATAAATCTACTGAAGGTACCACAACTGTTCCTTAATAGTAAAGAACGATTGAATTATTACTACTAAAGAAAACCGATACTTTTATGTCTCTGACACCTTAATTTGCTAGATGAATACTCTTTTTCACAACTGCATTAACATTGACAATGGCCTAAAATACCAGATAAGTTTAATATTAGGTGTGTAGATGCTCAAACGTAAAGATGCATGAGGGTGTCAACTACCTTTATAGAAATGGAAACTTTACCTACTTAGAGACAGCACTCTAATTCGTTGATCATCCTAGTTTATAAGAAGTGATACAAATCTTTTTGTTATAGTTACAAGCCTATCAGCTTGACCAACATAATACCTAAGACCGGAAAGCTTATTGTCGTACAAGGGAAAAGTAGGACCAACCAACCCGAGTAAACCAGACAGGTTTCAGGCTTGAAAGAGCCTGCATTGGTCAGATCCTCACCCTAAGACATGTTTTGAAACAAAAGCATACTTATTGGAGTTGAACACTAACCATATATCTTGACCTAAAAAATTCATTTAATTCAGTCGACCTAGAGGTGTTGTTGCAATGTTTTATTACGAACAGAGTGCAGAGAAAATATCCTAAACCAACAAAGACAATAAACTAGGAAAAATTCAGTTGTGTAATAATCTATGAAGAGTTATGATTTGAGGTGGTAACAACAACTAGTGTTCTTCAGGAATGTCCAGTATCATCGTTACTAAAATGTATACGATCCACATTGACTTTGATATTTCAGACACCGGCTCAGTACCATGGAAAACTCAGACTTACTCAGAGTATACAGATCATATAATCCTTTCATGTATAAACATTGACGAAGTGCATATTCTTCTGAATATCATCAACAATCTGAGTATATCTGGTATGCCATTCACTTCTGTCAAATGTAAGATGATGGTACATGACTGGTCCACAGCAGCTCTCATTTTGTGCACACACAATTAAATGGTTCGCCATCTCACTTACTTTGAGAGTTGAATAAGCTCTGACGGTCTGACTGCTCACAAAATCTTTGCACAGATAAAAAACTCCCTTTGAGCTTGCAAAATGACATAATCTTTGACGCAGACCTAATATCGGTTGCCTATCAAAGGACACATGTAATGTTTAGTAATTAACTCCGTCCTTCTGTTTGGCCGTGAGACATGGCTGTTGAATGCGAAATATGCCTCTGTACAGTCTCCGGTAGTATTTGGCGCAATGTGGTCACTATTAATGGGCTCAGGCCATGAGTATGAGGTAAAAATGACAAGTCATTTGATATAGTCGCCTAACTGCGCCGATTGATGAAGCTGGGACTTGTTACGCATTCTCAGCGAAGGTCTTTCACAACAGGTAATGGTAGCAGATTTAAGATTACGTCAGAAAGGAGTTAGGAGTTGCTAGACCAGAACGTGGCACAAATCCATAAGGCTGTTAACTGCTAATTAGAGCCACGTAAGTAGGTTTGATGTGTCTGGTTGGGATTGATGAGAAGCTAAGAATCCATTACTGCACAACGTTATTTACATCGGTCAAAAAAATTCACGACGGAGCAGATGTATTCTCTCCTCAACACCTTCCATTTCCTAAAAATCTGCATTATTCTTCAATTAACTGTACTCCCTCTCGTACACTTTTGTTTACTCTAGTTTTTTTTCTATATCTTTTTCCCACCTCTATGTATTCTTTTATGGAGTGTGACAATTTGAAGAGATACACTTTTGTGCAAAACCGTACATCCCTAAGTCAGTAAGGAAAATAAAAACAGTTGAACTAATGCATATTGTCATAATTATTTGTTTTATACATAGAGTAAAACATAACTTTGTTCTTCTCACCTATTATAGGCTGTTAAATGAAATAAGAAACGATCCGATTTTAAATTCACACTTTCTAAACGGATTTAAAATGATTATTAGGATTAATTTGTAGCTAAAAGTTATTGCATTTGAAAACTGAGATGAATCCATCTTCTAAAAGATGTCGAAGTAGTTTCCTTTAACAAATATGAGGGATTTTACTATTCAGAAGAAAACCTCGAAGCTCATATTGAGAGATAAAAATAGCTAATTATGGCCATATCAACTGTAAATACCACATAAAAGAATACATATCCACGGTAAAAATACTTTTCGGTGACTAGATTTTACACTAACTATATTAAACTCCAAGTTTAAAAAAAACTTTTTGATTAAACTTGATTCCACATCGTATTTTTGGTGCAGGTATGGAATTTTCAGCATATGATGTCGGTAGCCCATTAGTAACAGGCGTGCATCGGCAGGGGTTCGAACCCCGGACCATGTGCATGGTCAGCAAGCGTCCTAACCGCTGTGCCACCGACGCACAAAAAATAAAGGGAGGACCTTGAGGCCTCCCCACTGAAAAGAACTACACGCCCAAGCGCATCCGATTAGGGTCCGTCGTGAGTTTCAACCCCCCGAGGTGCAATGGTGAGTCTCCACCCGGGTTCAGAGCATTCTTGATCACCCTGAACCTGACAGCAGGTAATGCCTTCTAACTACCGTTTTGATCAACAATCAAAAAGATATGCAGTGATTATTCGTTCTTACAGAGACTATACGGAGGATTATTATAACTGCTGAAAACTACGTTTCTGAATATAAATATTCTTTGGTTTGAAATTTAGCTATTTTACCCTAACTAGTTACAGGATGTAAGACAGAGATTCACTTTTATTTGAAGGTAAACTAGTTAACTTATGGGATTTTCTTACAATCAAGCTCATTTATTATTTGATAAGGTACATTAAGATATCGTTCTGTCAAACTTACTCTAGGATAAGATCTGTGCAGACAACTCTATTTCAGTGTAACATTTAAGGGTAAAACATTGCAAGAAACACATGCCTACTTTTGAATTTCAACATTTTGCATACATAGCAAGAAAACAACTAATCAGCAAGAGTAAAAATATCCCGTAATTGGAGAGAAATCGCTTGCTAGAGGTGGAGATTTCTGCATCAATAAAGAAAGAATTCACTTATTATGCTTCCTACACAAGGTATATTTCATCGACTGATACTCATAGCAGTATGGTATATGTTGCCCGAATAATAAACAAAAAGTTACTGGTTAGTTATAATTTTTTGTTTTACCTTTAACAGGTTCCCTATCAGCTTCCCACACAACCAAAAGACCCGTTGAAGTTGCAGTTATGGCGTTATATTTCTCGGGTATGTACTGTGTGTAGGAGAACTGGCCAATTTTCTGTCTGAAATCTTCATCATTAAGCGAAGGCGCGTAGACCACCATATCTTTTTCTTTACTTTTCTAAGACAAATAAATTAAAATACTAATATGTACCCAGTTATAAAAGATGACTTGCTGATCACCATTCGTACAGAGATGATAATAATCATCAGGATTGAAAGTAATTTTTGTCTGAAAGGAATTCTCCCCACATATTTTTGCTTGGCAGTGTGGCAGATCACTTCCAGTTGTCCAGTTCCAAATAGCGAAACTCTGATCAGAAGGATCAGCACTTAACGTAGCCAAATAACGAGCATCTTTGGTAAGAGCGATGGATACCACGCCATTTTTGTGAGGTTTCAGCATTGTACGTACTGCTTCTCCAGTTTTACCATCCCAAATTATGACAACACTGTCAATGCCGCGATCACCAGAAGCCAACCAGCGCTTATCGCCACTACATGCTATGCTTGTAATTTCATTGCACTATTTCAAAAAAATTATATCAGTATGTATTCAAAACGAATTCTCACATGTCCCCTCAAAATCCTCTGTCTTTCATTTTTGAAATCATATAAGACCAGCAAGTGAGCAGACGCAAAGAATACGACGCTCGACTTATCATTGCTTAAGTTAATAAGGGGAACTGAATGGCTATAACCAAATGCCCATGCAGGCGATATTGTCTCTTTTTTATCCATTGGTGACCATAATTTTTCATTCTCCAATTTCTTTTTGATATCTTCTTCTGAATTATTGAGTGGATTCTCAGGGTTATTATTATGCTCAGTGACATTTTGAACATTGGTGTTAAAATTTTCACCTGTAAAGTGTTTTTAACTTTAGTTAACAGAATATAAAACAAACTTGTTTTTTCTGTAGTTTCTACATGGCTACAAGCCCAGGGTTCACTGGCAGACTCTGATGCTGGAGAACTCCTGAACATATAGAGACAATTTTAAAAACGTTCAAGAAAGCGGTCGACATAGAGTTTGAGTTTTGATGTCAACTAAGAAATGTTTCCAAACGACAGCATATTTTTATTTCGAGTCACTCTAGTATGCAAAAGGTGAGTAGCATTTATCATGATCACTAGCAGTGTTCATCCAATATTTCTATAACGAGTTTGTATAGGACTTATGATTTCTTGGGGCCTGTGTAATTTAAATTCGGAAACGTTCTAGACCTTTGGTGGATTCTAGTGAGGTTCTGCTGGACATAGTGAGAGGAAACGCCTTGTTTTATTTTGGAGTTGACCTATAGTTTCTACAAGGTTTGTTGTGTTTTATTTTTCTTATCAGTGCGTGGATGTTAGTGAACCTAACTACCTGCTCAAGGTGCAGAAAGCTACAGAAGCTTTGGCTGCATCTCCCGCTTAGTTGGTACTTGCATCTAGCACTTACATCAGGAGTAGCCCAGATCACGTTTTGTATCTGTATACAAGAGGTTAGTTTCACATAAACAGTATGGAACTATTTGCGTTACTGTTGCGTAGTTGAACAGCCCGACATATATTTACGTTGAGTGTCAGCTCGGTCGTTGTTTTCAGGTCCTTTCGGTTGGCTGGTTTCTCGTATTACCTGGGCAAGTCTTCCTCATATCTCACGGCCCTCTGAAAGTATACATCATCGATGTAAAGGAATTTCGGAGCACTCCACTTATTCTTCAGATAATTCATAAAAATCAGGGGTGGCATAGGGTTTTTAATATTTCCTCGAGGGTAGGGTATTGCAAGGATCTATGAATAGCACTCTCCATGTAAAGCATACGTGGGGAAACTTCACACAAAATCCTCCCATCTTCTACTAGCCTCTCATCGAAGATGGAAATGAATTGACTGTTTCTGCTTCTAGGAATTTCCAGGTTATGACTTCCAATATCCTGATTACGAGCTAGTGTAAACCAGTGATTTCTTTAAGTTCGCTTCTTCATTTTAAGGTGGAGGTCCCAGATCTTCGATGGACTTATGCGTAGTAAGTCCCGCCACTCGGCTGCTTTAGCTCTGTTAGACTCCAAGAGGAGTGGTGCGGGGATTGGTCAAAATGTGGTTTGTAGTATGCAGAATGTTAGGACTGTGTTGCTGCCATGAATGGAGTTTGCCCTAACTCCCGTTGGTCAATCGGTGTAGTCATAAAAGTAGAATAGTAATAATAATGGGTTGTAGTGTAGATAATATAGGTTGAGATAAGTGAAATAATAAAGGTGACCTAAGGAAAAGATAGAGTAGTCGGTACAGTGATAGAAGACAGAACGGGTCATGGGGATTTAGTTTGTATGCTTATCCATTGACAGTGCGGTTTCAAATTTTAAAAGGACAAGCCATTGAGACACAAACCATGCATTTCTGCATGACTGCCCAGCTTCCGCTTAAAAGTCTCCACAGACGGCCGCCGGTAAAGCGTTCCAGAGACGGCAAACTCGAAGCGAAAAGAAATGTGAACGCACTCGAGTCTTTGGTCTCTGGTGCGCTATACTTAGCAGGTTACCTCGTGGAAGCCTATAATCACTTAATGGCAGGATGCTTTTATTTGGGTGGGCCTGCTCATTTAAGATCTTACAGACGGTGATGAGGTCTCCCATGTGACTACGGTAACTAAGTGTGAAAAGACTTAATTTCCTCAGTGTTTCCTCGTATGATTTGTTGCGGAGGCCGATCACCCATTTTGTCGCTCGTCTCTGGACACTCTAGAATGTTACTATCCATTTTGAGTAGCGGAGGAGCAATGATATTATGCACCTCAAGGTGTGACCTCACGTATGTCTTATACAACCTTAAGAATAGTTCGGGAGTAAGAGCTCCCAGCTGCCTATGCATAAGGTGTAAAGTTGCGTAAGCTTTGGTGACGTCCCTCGTGTAATTTCCACTGGTGTCTAGCTTTTCTGTTAAAATAAGACCTAGGTCGCGCTCTGATGGCACACAACTCAAGTTCTGGCCACCAAGGGTGTAATTTGCACTCTGTGACCTGCCGGAATGAAATTGCACTACTTCGCACTTCTTTAGGTTGAAAGGCATTCCGTTAGCCAGAGCCCAGTCTCCCAGAGTTTGCAGGTCAGCCTGAAATCTGTCTGAGTCTTCCGATGAGTTTGCTGCTCTCCAAATCTTTACGTCGTCAGCATAAAGAAGCGCAAAGTAGTTCAGTTGACAGGGCAGGTCGTTGATATAAATCAAAAACATCAACGGTCTTAAAATAGAACCCTGAGGAAACCCTGATGCCGAGTTGTCCTAGGATAATCGGATGCGGTTGACTTTGGTGCAGAATTCTCTCTCGTCTAAGTGACCTTACAGCCATGCAAGAAGTGCTCGAGAAACACCCGCCTTGCTTATTTTGTGAAGGAGCAGACCATGGTGAACTGTGTCGAATACTTTCGCAAAGTCGGGAAAGATCACATGGACTGGTACCTTTACGTCCCAGGATAGTGTCCAATCGTTCCGAGCTAGTAGAAGATTCGTCACACAGGATCTTCCTCTCCTGAAACCATGCTGTGCTTCATGGAGTAGGTTAGTCCCGTCGAAGTATTTTCTCATGTGGTCGTCAATGAAACTTTCCAATATCTTCGATATCTCTGGAAGTAGCGTAACTGGTCTGCAACTGGTCGCATTCTGTCGGTCACCACCCTTGAAGATAGGGGATAGGATGGCTCGTTTCCATTCACATGAAAGTTTCCCTACATCAATGGAGTGTTGAAACAGATCACTCAGGGGTTGGCAGAAACTTACTGAACACTGCTTCAGGACGGATGGTCTGATGTCATCACAACCTGAGGACTTTCCCGAAGTCAACTTTCCCAATTTTACGAGTACCATAGCCGGGGAAATTTGAAATGTACCCAGCAGGTTTTCGCGCGTTGGTTTTGCATTGTAATTTTCATGTTTTGTGGGGGTAATATCCTCGCTACTGTTTAGTTGCCTGTGAAAGACTAGACTGAATGTCTCTGCCTTTGATTAGGTCTAGAGGCAATAAGTGAGCGAACGTTCTGTTCCCTGAATGAATCCGGGCTTTCAGCTGGTGGAAGGCACAGGTCCGATCCTCACTGCAGCCATGTTGAGTTTCGAGTAGGATATTATTTTCTATCCCTTATGTGGTGATCCAGCAGGCTTTCTATCACCTTTGACAGCATCTGTGCTCCGCCAATCCTTCCTCTTTAAAAAGGGAGATACAAGATCGTGTCTCCTGTCGCATGTCTGATGAGTACTAAAACAGCATGGTGACAGGAGTATGTTGGGCTTCGGAGCGCTGTATCAGAGCAGTTGGTCTAACAGCTAAATCCAGAGGTCATAACGGATGCAGCTTTGTCAGCTTCGCCATAACTATAGCCAGATTTAGTTGGACCGAAACAATGCCGACGACATCATCACACACCACGATTCGCTGAATAAAAACACATTGTGAGCTTTCTTGTTATTAAGCTATCTGTCGAATGTATCGGTAATTGTCCCAGATGTCTCTTAATTGCTGGCGATTTCCCTAGCCACCAACGACTCATGACAATCTAATCCACCTGGGCAATAGTGGTGAAAACGGCAGTGGTACACGAAGATAGTTTGGATCGTTAGTTCACCGTGCCTTTTTGTTCCTCTTAGCCCGGCATTACTGTAGCCAGTGGATGCTGGTGAAACAGTAAACCATGCAGTATATCGGAAGAGTGAAGCTCGCACCAAAATGCAAATATTTCTACCAAGCCAAGCTTTCAAACACTTAGCAAGTAGCTTCCAAAACAGATAATTTACCACAGAGCTATGAACATTGCGCAAGACAAAGTTGTGGCTCTTTACTGCTAGTCTAGGTTTTTTACAGCCACCTTGGCAACAATTCCCAATAATCTGCACAACTGAGCTTCAGATGAAAGTAGGGCACACAGTTACGAATGCACGTCGACCGGTTGGCGAAAATCGGTGGGAATCCTTTTTACATAGGCCACATGTTTACTGGAACTCAGACGGGGGACGTGGCCTCAGCCTCAAGGTTAGTGATATGTCTTTGAAGATCCTGTCACGAACGCTAATGCATTTAGTAGTTTGCGATAACGAACTTCCCTCCCATTCAATTTACGAGCCTTTTGTTCTGATCAACAACAACAACAACACGATACTGTACCACCAAATCTGTGGCAAAGCAACTAAAGAAGACAGGCTGTTGATGCTGAGTTTTTACTGTCTCAAATCAACAGCGAAAAGGGTTGGCAGCGTTTGTGTATGAATGTGCTTTAAATAGCCTTGAGAGATACCAATCACATTGATAAGTTAAAAAGGTGAACAACAACTGGGGTTCCAGCGTCGTAAGTCAAGGAAAATAGAAGCAGCACCGTACAGTTAAGATGAATGTATTATTTTGGGAAAATTAGGCCGACATAATATCATTATGGATAAAATTTTATAAAAATAAAACTTGTTTACTATTTCTTTGAAAGAAATCTTGAAATGGTGCTATGCGAACTCACTGCCACTGTCTGGTACGACGACCTCCGGAATGCCATGCCAAAGGTAACATTCCTTATATTCTTCATGATAATGTTGCTGTTAAGGATGATGCAGGTGTAGCTGAACTTTTTAACAGGCACTTTTCTAATTCATACACACACGATATTTCTGCATGCATCGACTTTGACCCTGTAACCGGCAAAACACTGCCAAAGATATGCTTGACTGTTGATGTTATATAAAGTGCAATAAGTTCATTGAAATCCTGCAATACTCCCGGACCTGACTCAATTCCCCCATCCTTCCTAAAAAATGGTGGCTCAGATCTCCCTCTCATTTTGCTTCAAATATTTTTAACGTGTCTTATGAATGGAGTTTATCCTACCAAATGAAAGCAGATATTTATTATCCCTAGAATTAAGTCAGGCTCAAAATATGATGCGAGGAATTACAGGCCGATCAATATAACATCTGTCTTGTCAAGGATACCTGAGAAGATAATCAGTACCAAAATCACTGACTTCTAGTTGACTGAAAACCTCATAACACCTTCTCAGAATG